AAAAACACGCTTTTAAAGCACATCGAACTAAAAAGTTAAAAATAATTTTTAAAATAAGTTTAAAATAATTATGAACAAAATATACTAGTATTATTGTGATAAAAGCGTGGGTGCTATGTGTCATATTTTTCGTATATTGAACGCCCGATGCTTTTATAACAATAATACTAGTATTTTTTATTCATAATTATTTAAAAAATTATTTTTAACATTTTAGTTTGATGTGCTTTAAAATCGTGTTTTTTTTAGTTTTTTAAACTATATTTATTATAGAACACATTCTGCATTGATATATCTTTTTATGATTTTAGGTTGAACATTTATCTAGCGGATTTTCTTGGGATCAAACTCTTTTCAAATCAGCAAAAGGTTGTCTTTTATATGAAAGGATTAGTAAAGAAGATACAGTTGATTCATTAATTACAAAATCAATTTTGTTATATTACCGACATTTAAAACAAACTTATAACCAGTAATATTTTACTTATTATAACAAAATATTAAAAAAATGTATATTTTTTTTCTTTAGGGACCTTATTAAAAAAATACCGTAAGTAAAACTTGAAGATCTTCCTGAAATTGGCAGAAAGTATGTGAAGCCATGATTTAATCCACAATCTACCATATATGCAATGATATGACCTCCTACAAAAGTCGAAGAAACAACTAATGAATTTGAAAAGTAATATTTTAAATGACATTAAGGGTGAAGTTAAGTAAATGTAAACAAATTGGATAATTGTAATTTCATATTTTTTCTAATATTTAACAAATATTATTTTAGATTGAATAGTTATGATTCTCATTTGTATTGTTATCGTATTAAATTAATTCGAAATAAAACTTGCAAAAAAAAAATGCAATTATGCCAATCGTTTACAATGACCCTGTTTCACTATATAAATAAAAATAAAAATTTTGCTAATAAAAATATTGTTTTAATTTTCAGAATTGGTATTAAAATGAATGTGTACAAATCTTTAAATGAAAGTTTTCTAAATAATTAACAGCATACTTGGTTGAATACTTTTTTAAATCATTATATCTAATCTAACAATTATTTTATATTTTATTAATTAAACAAAATACATTACTTAACCCAAGACAACCTAAGTAGATACCCAAACATTTTAAATACTCGCATTTTGCAATGCAAAATTATTTTTCTGCAAAGCATTTCTAAATATGTTATAAAATACAAAAATGGCGATTACTTATAAGTATTAAAAATAGATATAAACAAATAGGACAATTGTAATTTCATTCTCTTTCATAAAAAATTTAGCAGATTTTATTTTAAATTGAATAGTTATGGTTCTGATTTGTATTGCTATCGTAATATGTTCAAAATAAAAACTTGTAAATTTATCTAAAAAAAAATGCAATTAAAATTAAGTCAATCGTAAAAAAATAATTCAACTATGTAGTATTGTAGAGAATTTTTGATATAAAAATTATTCTATTAACAAAAATTCAAAAATTTAAATCTTCACAGAAAATAATTGTTCAATCATTAATAAATCAACATAAACTAAAATGCATTATTATAGCCATATAATGCTTAAAAATTTTTAAATCAATTAACATTTTACAAACAACTAACGTACATCATTTTTAAGTTAAAAATCAGCTATTGTAATATTTTAAATATTTTCACTTAAAAAAGATGGGTTTTTTCGAGCTTTGAAAGTAATATCTTAACAAATATGATTCGGTTTATTTTGGCCTACCTATTTCTTATTAGCATTGGTCCAATAAAAAATGAGAATACGAGAGACGACATAAAAAAAATAATAAATCTTCTTATTATATAATAGAACAAAGAAAAAAACGCTTTTCTGGGAAAATTACTTAGCGTAATTGGATTTTCAAAATTTTTTTTTTCAACGAAAGTACTCGGTCATCAAACTCCGGAAAAATTATTGGCGAAGGTCGGAAAATTTTTGTTTTAAAATTTCGACCGTTTTCGAGAAACTCTCGCTGACGCCAGCGTTTTACGACTTAAGGTTTGAAATTTTCACCATACCCGCCCAATGACATTCCTGAGATATGATAAAAAAATTTTCACCGTTTTACGAGCANCTGAGATATGATAAAAAAATTTTCACCGTTTTACGAGCATTTTTTTTTTCATGCGCTCGAGACGCCAGGGCGCGCCGCCCGAAATTCTTGCGACACTTTACGACATGAAAACGATTTTTTTTCAGAACAGTACATTATTAATAATCTTTATTTTCTCATATATGATATATAAGTCTATTAGTTTATCGTTTAAATTGGAATTCATCTGTGACAACTATGCTGTCCAACGTTAAATCGCAGTTACCAATATTTTTATCAAAATTAAATTTTTTACATAGTCTCACCTGCTAAATTTTTTTGTAATTATTCTCTAATATAAACACAATTATTATAATTAGAATATTAATAATTTTTGTGTATACCAGGGGTGTATTTAAGGGAGAAATGGGCCCTCCTTGAACCAGCGCTATCAAGTTTTTTTTAGGCAACTTCTAATAAATAAGGACCTAATGTCCTTTTTTTTCATCATTACTTTGATTTTTAGCAAAAAAATTCTATAACATGTTTAACAAAGTAAAAAATATTAAATACCCTCTTAAAATAATTTTTGAATAAGCCTAAAGGGAATACCTCATTAACAATCGTCAACCTTATACCTAATACATTTTACTATATTCTCTTTTTGAATTTTCATGATTTTAATAATAACATTTTTATATATTTTTGTTACACTGATTCTGATGTAACATTTTTTCTGCAAAACACTTATCGTGTCCGGCGTAGCCGGGTACCCTTACCGGAATCAGTTGCCTACTTATGATGACTCGTCCGAAGAGGCTTACGAGCCGAAGGCGCATAAGGCTCATAGGGCCCCGGGTCTGGGTCGGAGCCTAGTAACATTATAATAGAATTAATACCTTCCTAGTTTCGCGTCATAGCTAAAATCATAACAACATTAAAATAAAATTAATAAAAGAAGATTTAATCTAACATAAAATTTTACAAATAATTCACAGTTATAATTTTAATTTTTTTTTATTGTACAAGCATATTTTTTTATTACATTAACATTTAATACTAAAAAACATAATTTGTTACACTAAAAAAATCGACATTGCATCACAACTAAGAATGGTCAAACAATTTGAGTATCCTTAATTTTTATCACATTAACATCAGATTATCATTAAATTAAACAATTAAAAGAAATACAGGAACTTTCGAATGGAGAATACATGTTCTATTTAATTAAACCCTAATTTAAAAAATGTTTCTACAAAAATACAGAATACTTCTTTGACAAAGTTGAAATAATTACCTTTTTTATTTATTGCAAGGTTAAATTTTTAAAATAAAATTAAGGTAACTTAAAATGTGCAATACGACTTAAACAACTCTAAAACATAATAAATTACTTACTTATACTTTTTTGAAACTTTACACTTATAAATAGAATTTCAAAACAAAGTATTTTGTTGAGAAATATCTAGAATATGACCATATGTTTTATTTCTATATAGTTTCTTTGAATCTTTTCAAATTGTAATACATAATATACATCTGTTCAGATAATTGATATTTATAATAGTGTTAATATTAATAGAATGATAGATTTATACAATTTATTTATTTTTTATTTTTATGTCATTTATCAAAAATACATAAAAATATACTTATTAATAGTACACAATAATTCCTTACGAAATTCTCTTAATATGTTAAAACGTATAAATTGGTTATATAATTTATGAACTATACTTTAAAAAAATTCATATATAGATACATTAATAAATAATATAAAATAATAATAAATCACAACTAGTATCTAAATTTAAATGGGATGAATGTGGGGCAAAATATAACAATTAAAATCAATATAGAAATATAAAAAATAAAAAATATATATAATGTTGAATAGAAAATACATTTTAAATAATTGTGAAATTCAATAGTGAAATTCTACTATTTCGTTGTAACCACTATCACCATAAGGTATTGTAGCTTTTTTGTAACCTTAATATTGCTGATAATTCATCAAATAAATTAAACAATATAAATCATATAATAAAAAAAATATAAATATATAAATAATACATTAGTTTAATTAAAAACATGTCATGATAGGGCAAGAGAATATTAGTATATTGTCTTTTTTCCAAAATAACATTAATATAAATTGTATATGATAATAAAATTTTGTATCCTAATACTTTTATAATTATTTTTCCATTGTCATGGTAAATATAGTATTATAATTTTTATCCACTAAATATATAGTGTCAAGCAATAAATTAGAAGTATCATAAAAATTTATTTTAACGACAAAAAGGCCTGTTTACCGTGATTTATAAGATAGTCACTCAGACTAACACTATCTGGCCACTGTTTTAATGCAATAAATAGTCCTGCAACAACTACAGTTGTAGTAAGAATTCGTAACCGAGTCCTAAGAAATGGCATAAGAATACCAGCAAATGTGGCCACAAGAAGTAATACTACTTGAAGTACTGTGAGTAATACATTTATCAATTTTACAACCAAAGCTCGTGCATTAGAATTATCTAAGCCTTCTAAGGTAACATACTGTTGATGTTGGGCTTGTTGATGTTCCATTTTTGACATTTTGGTTTGACATGATTCCAGCATTTCATGTATATCTCGAAGTCTCTCTTCACTCTGATATTGCACTTTTTCTTCCATATCTGTAATAGTTTGTTTAAGGTTTTCTACTTCATTTTGATGCAGTTCAGTTAAATCATTAATTTGCTCTTCTAATCTCTCAGTACGAAAACGTTCTTCTTGTAGGGAATGATTTAATGAAGCAATATCTTTAGACACTAATTGCTTGATGTGTTCTATTTTGGAGCGCAAGTGATCTAATTCTGCCCAAACTGGTTCTAATGATGGTGATGCAGATGCTGGCGGAGGTGGTGCCTGACTTGTGCGTGGAGGTATTGATTCACTAGTAACAGAACTATAAAAAAGTATACAATAATAAATAAATCAGTCATATTTACTAGTTTTTAAATTAAAGATGTGAACTAATTCTTTTTATCATTTACACAAGAATTAATAATATGGTTCAGAAATTTATTTAACATTTTTGCCATTTTTTTTTTTTTAATTATCTAAAAATAGGGCAAATAATATGCCTATACATTTTATGTGGTTTACAAATAGAATAAAAAAAAATTTTTTAGAAGATTTTTAATATATAATCTTATTATATTACAACTTTTCAATAAGTATTTTAAAAATATTATCTTTTTGTATTTTAAAATGACTTTTTAATAAAAAAATTTATAATTTTTTTTTCTTTTGTATTATTTAAAATTGTTGGTCATTATATCTCTTTTTAAACAGTTAAAATATTTACTACTTAAAAGTCACTTTAAAAGAGTAATTTTTGTAACTTCTAGAAGCAAATTTTTAAGATTTATTGGATCATTAATTTTCAAACCCTATTATTGATATTTGATACAACATAATGGATTTTTTAAAGCAAAATTTGAATAGTATATGATTACTTTATGAAATATAAATACTAGTCTATGTTGTTGATAAAATGATAGTAAATATTAAATAAATCAGATGATTTCTATATTCCTACATATTTCTTGTACACTCAATACCTAGCAGAATTATTTTTGGAACCCAAAGAAATTCAGCAATAATTACCTGCATTCTGAAGCACCATCTTCACTACGTGATACAACAGCCCCATTATTAGTAGAAGTGTGAAGACCTATTCCTCCAGGTAGTGTAGCACTACCATGGTGGTTTCGACTGCTCTGATCACTGTTATCTTCTGTTAATTCTGCTTCACTAGATCCTAAATAAAATTCTGTATTTTAAAAATGAAATAATTTTAGTTAGATTTTTTAAAACAAAATATTTTATTCATATACTTGAAATTGAGTTTATGTTGTCAGCACTGCCAAATTTATTACGAATAAGATGAGCAAACTCCCGTGGTTTTGACATAACAGACCTACCACGATATTACAACATAATATTAATATTTTTTTTTATTTCTAATTAATACAGATTAATTTTGACAATTATAAATTTTACAACAAAAGGAGTAAATCCGTTATTGTATCATTCAATTAAAAAATAATTTTATTAGCTGGGGGGCAAAGAAGGAGCTTCCTCGCAGAATGTGCAATTTAATCTAGTAAAAGAATTTTAGAGTACATTCTTGGTACTCTTTGGAGACAATGATATTACCCTTAAGCATACTGTTAGCTAATTCTTCTAACCAGACAATGAAATCATTTTCAAACATTTCAAGTCAACATCAGCAAATTACAGTAATGCCAATTGAAAACGGTCATTTTAAGGACCACTTGATGCTTAATGTTAGTGAAGATCTTAGGATTTGTCATTTCAACATTAAAGTGAAGTGCAAAGTTCTAAGCAAAATAATGAACAAGAAAAGAATAGATGTAATTGCCTTACAAGAAACTCACACAAAAGATGACAATGACTTACAAAAAAGAGGCTACATTGCAGGATATGCACTGATTGGAGCAATATACCACAAACAGTATGGAATAACTACATAGGTTAAAGAAAACATCGTTAATACAAGGGTGGTTCACAAAGACAACTCGGAAAACATACAAATACTAACCACGACAATATGTAATATGACAGTAACAAACGAGTGTAAACCGCCAAACAACAAATGGGAAAGTAACCTAATGAATATCTTTAAACACCCAGCCATTTATGTAGGAGACTTTAATAGCCACAATATGATGTGGAGTTATGAGGAAAATTATGAAAATGGAGATCTATTATATGAGAGGTTAATCATAATGAATCTAAACTTGTCCTCAGTATTAAGGACAAGGGAACTTTCCAGGTAGCAAGATGGCTAAAGGATTACACACCTGATCTGAGCATAATATCAAAATCTTCAAACCATAGCAGACATAACATCTCGCCGCGTTTTTGACGACTTCTCTTGCAGCCAACATTGACCAGTGGTCCTAGAGTATGGCCTAAAGATACCAATAATTAGATCAAGCCCAAAACCAAGATGAATTATCAGAAAAGTAAAATGGACTGGATTTGCCAAGGACAGACAGCTACAAATTATTTGTGGAAGCTATAAAACTAGTAGCAAAAAACACATACCTAAGAGGCTTCAGGAAGCAATTCATACCAGGTTAGGACGAAACATTTAGCGAGCTGTTTTCAGGATTCAAAAAACAAAAGATACTAACGTAGGGAATGAGCTAATTAACAACTTGAATTTAAAAAGAAGACAAAGATGGCGCAAAAAAACAGAAAATCTAGACTTTAACCACTCCAGCAATAAAACATGGAGCCTTATGAAAAAATTTGGTGAGTCAAACCGTTTCAAGAAACCTTTGATGGGATACATGCTGAGTTTTTTTAATTTGTTTGTTACTTATTAGTAAATACACTGATCCACAAGTATTTATCATTAGAGACCATAATATACTTTCCTAGTCTCATTTTTCATGCAATTTAAAATTTGCAAATAGTATTTTTCTATCACCTTTTTTTTTTTGAGATTATAACATATTAGTAAAAAATGATATATACAAAAAGATATTTACATATAAAAAAGTAATTAAAAACGAAAAAAAAAAAAATTATTATTTATCTTGATTTTTAATATTTTAAAAATAATTGGTACAAAATATCATTTTAACCTATTTTTGGGTCCTTTAAAGTTGATTTTTATGAAAGTTTATAATAAAATAAGGTTAAAATTTTTAGAATAACTCTTTTTTAGCTCAAATTTTAAGTTTAAAATCCCCATTATTAAATAGGAAATTTTATGAGAATTAAAAAAATGATTCTGTTAAGATAGTATGCAGTACTATAATTACTATATACAGTAAATTTATGAAAAAAAATCAATATTTCTTTAAAATCGTAATTTTTTTGCATTTTTACCGTAATAAATCATTTCAATAGAAATCATATAAATACTTTCAGTTTTCGAATGGTGAGATAACTTAATGGAAAAATTTGGAAGGGCTAATTTAATTTATCTTTTTAATATTACTATCTAATTTGTAGACTAAGATCTCCTAGTTTTATTAAAAAACAACTTAATTAATTTTAATGATTTAATTTAAATAAAATAAAACCAATCAAAAAGTTCTTAAAAAAATCCACTCAGTTGAGTGTAATATTATAAAATTTGATTACAATAGTAAAAATCTATTATTAAATTCAATTGAAACTAAATACCATTTTTTTTTTAAATTTATGATTTATATAGCAACATGTTACAAAAAAATTTGGAATATTATAGACTGGTAGTAGCACACATAAATAGAGTTAAAAAATTAATAAATTACTAAGTAAAATTATTTACTTTTGTAGTTGAATCCTATTATCATACAAACCAAATTTGACAAGAAGTACTTTAAAAACATTAGAAATGTATGATTTTAATTGTCTATATGTGGAGAATGAGTGTTAAGTAACTTTTTAATTGATTAAGTGGAAAATTTTTCAATTTTTGAGGGTAATATCTTTAACTTAATACAATTTGTAATAATTTGACGTATCTTTGAAAAAATTTGGCCAAGTAAGAGCTGAGAAAAATGAGTGATGAGCACAAAAAAAACCACATTGTAAAATTATTTTAATATGAACAAGAAATTCCTTCTCATAAGGGGAGTCTATAGTGATGAGGTCCTTGATATTCATTAAAGTTATTCAATCTAAATGAGATAAAAGTCAAACAAATTTGAAATTTTTTATTGCATCAAAAAGAATTAAGAAAAAATTGCAAAAACAGTCAACTTTTAAGATATTTTTAAATAAAAAAATATTTCAAAGTTTTAGAAATTTAAAGTCAAAATAATATTTTCCAAAAATAATTAAGAAAAATTTCACCTCTATCTTAATATGCCAATACAGAGTTCACATATTTCATATAAACACTTTCAAATAAGTCTTTATACACCAATTTATTATTTTCTTTTATAATTTTCCAATTTTTACACAAATATTGTACTTTTATCTTTAACTTTAATGTCCATTTTCACCACAAAGACAAGTCAGAGGTCAAATTTTTTTCTCAAAATAAAGTATATTACATATTAATTAATTTAAAACATAAATAAAACTATTGTAATTCCCGTAACATTTTCAAAAATTAATTTTTTGTGGAAAAGTTACTATTTGAAACCCTCTTAGTGCACAGATAATTGGTCAATTTTCACAAAAAATATACCAAATGATAGATAAATACCTAAAGTAACTTTAAAAAAGTAATTTTGATTTGTTAATTTTTAAAAAAGTTATTGTAGTTTTAAGAAAAAAGATAATAAAATAAAAATTGTCGAAAATTACCAATTTTTGAAATTAAAATTTTGTACATTTTTTATGGATATTCCCCAACTAGATCAATTTGTGATCTTTTGATGTATCAATGAATAAAATTGGTTCGATGAAAGCTGAGAAAAGATGGTAACAAACACAAAAAGAAAAACACATTGTAGGTAAAAGGAAATAGCAAACAACTTGGTTGTACTCATATGTCTTTGATGGTATATATTTTTTGAATACTAGTAAAATATTTTGATTGAACGTCAATATAACACGTAGTTAAATTAATAATATGTGCTATTTATTTTATGTGATTATGAAATACATGATACTTAATTAGAAGCCAGATAAAAAACCACCAAAAACAAATGCTGCAATATTAATGTCCTAAGTTTAACACTACATAAACAAATTATTCAAAAAAATATTGAGCGAAAAGTTAAGATTGGTAAAACTGTATGGAGAAGAATTTAAAATATGTTTTAATAATTGCTTTATGCCATCAATAAACTACAGATTATTCTACTAAAATGAACTAAAAAAAAATTTTTTTTTTAGTTTTTTAAGTAAATTTTTTATTTTTCTTTTGTTATATTTTAATAAAAAAATATACAGCTTTAAAACATAAATTTAAAAACATCTATAGTGTAGATTTTTTTCACACGAATCTAAATTTCTACTATATAGAAATTACTTAAAATTATATATTAAATGCACAGAGCAAGAGTTCATGGTCCCCTGTACAAACTTGCTCCGCGGGAATAAGTATTCTTTGTTGAGAAATAATATAAAATAAGTAAATATAAATTCTAATTTTATCATACAAACATATTAAAATTATTTTTGAAATTATTTAAAAATTACTTATATGAGATTTTTAATTATTAAATATAATTCACCAAGCTTACACTAAAACAATTGACTAAATTAACCAATACTCACCCAGAAAGACCAGAAATACCATCCCTTATATTTCCACCAACATGCCTAAATAATAAAGATTTAAATATTATTCTTTAATTAATCTGTTACACAATTATTTTTACCTTAGACCATGACCAACATCTCTTAACATTTCTTTAGGTTGTTTTAAATGGTGTGATGTCGTAAGTCCATGAGTTTCAAGGTCTTTTAATCTTTTATTATATGCTTCAAGTTTTTTTTGTAACTGCGAAATATTAACAGCAGACTTTTGATTTTTTTTTTCAAAAATTGATTTAATACGAGCCAATTGTTGTTTATCAGCATTTGACGCTAGTTTCAAATATTCATTTACATTGTCTATAATATAAAATATTTGAAAGTTAACCATTATATTATTTCTAATTTAAAATAAATTTTCCTACCATCTCTAGCAGTTTGCTCACTACGTATAAGATCTTTTGTACGTCCAATTTTTAAACGCACATGATCCATTGCAGCTTTAGTTTTTGAACCATCTGCATCATCTGTTAATTCACCTCCATTATATGTGCCATAAGAATTATAGAAAATATCCTAAAAAAATTATTTAACTTATGATTAAATGCAATTAAATTAAATGATACTTCAAGTAAATTTATAAATTATCACATCAAACAAAAACAGTTATTCTGAATAAAGATTATCAGAATCTAAGTAGCTAATCTTTGCTATTGAGATATGTTGCTATAGTATTCTTTCAAAGAAAAAAAAATTAACAAGATTAAAAATAACCATGTCTAAAACAAAAAAAGTTTAAATATTAACTCTTAATTCAGTATCAATTTTCCCAGTAAACAAAATAAACATAAGGCAGCAATTTTTCAAGGGCAAAACTTAATTTTAAATATTAATCTGATTTTCATAGGTTACTAAAACTTAGAAAAGTGCAATTAATTAAATTTTTTTTTTGTATTTCTTATTAAATGTCCAAACACACTTTATTTACTGAACACTCAATATATTAATTTTAATGTTTCTCATATTTTCATGTTGTATTGTAATTTCTTACTTTTACCTGTATACAAATTCAAACATTCTTTATAAAAGGTATTAATTATAAATGTCATTAAATTTCATTATTATTATTATTATTACTTCACAAAATCTAGATTATCAATATACTTTACTGGAAAATAAATAAAATTTTTATAATTTTAATCGTATTATTTGATTAAATTTTTTTACTATAAATTTTCAATTCAATTATTTTACACTTGATTATAAACATAATACATTTTATTTTAAAATAATTTTCTGTTGTTACTTATAATGGTATATTTAAATAAAATTGTATGTTTTAATTTAATATAATATATAATTTTGACTGAGAAACTCTCACTTCTTGGTGGAAGCTTTAAACTTCTTAAAAGTAAGACATTATAATTCATTATATCAATCATCTACATATTGTACAAATTATCTGTAGAATTATTTTATAATTGTTGTAATTTAATATATTATATTAAAAAAATAAACTATAATTACATAATATTATTTATCATAAAAGGGGTGTTAAGACATATAATTTTACTGATTCATAAGAGGGCAACTACAAAAATTGTAAAATAGTTCCACTTTTATTTTTTGTTATTTCTATTAACAACTTGCTCTTGTTTTAAAAATATTTAATTATTAGATCTTGAAAATTGTTATAAGAGACTTCTTCTAATTTTTTTATTTTACATATGAGATTAATGGAGAATTTTTATGAAAAAATATTAAAGTGTAAACTGATAATTTTTCAGAAAACCAAAAAAACAAAAAATTTTTAGGTTAAGATAAATAGGACTTTTTAAATTTAATCATAGAAAAAAACTACCAAAAGAAACTACTTTGATACTGCTAATAACAATGAAAATTTTTTAAAAAAAATTAATGAAGAAACTAAAAACAACAGTATTTGACTTGATCACTTTTTTATAAAAACCATCTAAATAATATTGTACAAAATATTTTACTACTTACACTGTCTTCTTCATTGTTGCCAAATTGATTAGGTTCCTCACTTGATGCATAGCTTGACAAATTATCTGCTTTTATAAGGCCTGTATCAGCAGAACCTCCTCGTTCATGTCGTACTATTCGATTGCTACCTGATGAGCCAACGGGTGATTTACAACGGCTCATTGCAATCTCATCAGCAGAAAAACTAGGTAACAATGTTAAGTTATTCATACTTATAAACATCATAAAAATAAAAAATATCTTTCCCAAATATTAAATGATAAAATTTCAATTCTTTTTTGTTATCATATCAAATAAGTAAAAAAAATAATTTAAATTTATACATATTACCCAAAATAAAAAAAGGAGTTAAAATTTTTTTAATACATATATTTTAATATCTATCCATCAATCAATGAAACTTAATATTATTTTTTAGAAAACTTTGATAATTACATTCTAATAGATTAGAAAACAGCTAAATGTATATATTAAAAAAAAATGTTAAATCGTAATTAATCATAACAAAATAATTCAGAGGTATCGATATTTCAATTAATTATGTATGTATGAACTAAAGTTCAAATTGATTCTTTTGTAGTTTGATTTTTTAACCATAACGTGTTAAAAATATAGGATATTAACATACTAATTTAAAATTATAATTATAGTATTTTACTACTTTAAAAAATATCAATTCAGCTAAAAAAAACACCACATTTAGTTCAAACAAAGAAATAATTTCTATTTAAACAATTGTGTTTCTAGAAAACTTCTACTTAAATTAATAGAATTTATGTAAGGTAATAACTAGATAAGAAACCACATCACATCTATGTTAATAAATAGATTGGTAATAAATTTGATGCTACAAACAATTAAAATTATCAACTGATTTATACAAAACACTTATCAAATTATATGCAATAAGAATTTACAAAAAAAAAAATTGAATTAGTATAGGTAATGAATTTTTTATCATTCATTTTTATCTAACACATTGATTAACAGAACTACATAAAACAATGAAAATATTTTAAAACAGTTTAAACAGATAACTATAAGTAAAGTAACTTTTACTTTTATGTAACTTTGTACTATATTTTAATACATTTATAAAAAAAAAAGTTAAGTATGGGATGTTTACAAGGGTTTAATTGAAAGATGAATTAAATATTATAGTATAATTATCAACTTACGTAACAGCATTCCATGGTTTGTTTGCCATTTTGGAAAAAAATTAGGTATGTTTTGAGTCCTAAAAACTCCATCAAAATATTAATTCACCTGCAAAAGAAATTAAATAGTAATTTTGCTTTAACAAATATCTCCAAGTATAATTTATTTATTCACAATATACTAATAGATTAGAAAATAACCTTGATACTAATAATACATATAAATTACCAAATCAAAATCTTTTACAATGATGCTATTTAATTATCTATTTAACTTAAAATAAAACGCAAATGATAATATTGAGTAAAATTAGATTAAAGAAAATTTCAGAGAATAGAAAACAATATAACACAACTAATCTATTGTAGTACAAATAGTTGATCTTTGAATGAAATATTTCACAGATTATTTGAAAACATGTGTTTTGTTAACTTCTTTCAAAACTTCATATAAAACTATTTCAGGTCAATATAATTTACAAATTAAAGAAAATAATTTATACGCACATAATTTGTTTGATAAAGATGTACAAAATTTTCAACCACAAATTCTGTACACAAAAGACAAAGTTAAACAATTATTTAGCAGTTATTACTATTTTTTATTTTCTATAAAATAACATATTACTGTAATTAATGTGTAAATTTGATGAATATTAATTTAATGTAATATTAAATAAGTCATACGACAAATAATAGAAAAGTTAAGGAAGCGATTTCTGTTAACTAACAACAATACAATGGCCAAATTTTACAGTCATCCGCAAGATAAGCAATCACTAATCACATAGATCACAATCACGAACAGATGATTAATAAATACAATTGGGCGGAGTAGCAATACTGATATCTCAAACACTAGTGCTATCTATTAACACAAATAATAAAAATATTAATTTAACCCAACATTAATATTACTATAAATTAGAATTTTATTCATGTTAATACTAAAGTATACCCCAAGTAATTGAGATTAAGGCGAGGAGGAAGAAGAAGAATTATGATACTAAAAGCATTGATTAACATATTCCTTAATAAAAGGGATTAGTTCCGTTCGTACTTTAAAACAGAAAAAATGAACTTTTGTTTGGATTATTTTTTCTTTTATATTTTGGAGAAAAAAAAATCTTATAATTTTTATTTAAAATGAATATGCCAAATAATAATAATAATAATAATAACTTATTAAAATATATCGCATTTTCCGGTTGGGGCGCCCTGTCACGATGTCGCACTTGTTGATCATTAGAAATGTATATAGTAATTAATGAACCAAGCATTTAAAATATTAGTTAACAACATTAATGATTTGAAATACTTCCGCGGGGATTCTACACTTTTTCGCTGGGAACAGTTGCGTATTTAACTCTTTGGTTAAACTATTTTTCCGCCTCCCACCTTACTTTAATAATCAGAATTTCGTATATTTTTACTATTATTACTAATTGGTATTTATAACGCCATTAATGAATAATATTCTTTGATACATGGAAACGTTTATTATGGTAGTGATTTTAATCACTGTCAGTTATCATCTATACTTATCCAAATTATGCCACATCCATACTGTGCCGCGACCCCTCTATGCTACCGTTTTTACATTTGACATCGTTTAAAAACTACTATAAAATAATTTTACAACTTTTAGAACTGTGTTTTATAATTATTTTGCGGAGTATTTTTGTTGGGATATCACTCTTTTTTAATATTATATTATTATTATTATAATTGAAAGCAAGCTAATAGGTTACGTTTAATAACGGCACTTAACAAGAAATAAGTTATTTCAATTAGCTTGTCCGTTAAGAGTATTCGGTTATAGGCAATAGCGCGACAGCAACAGATATTCATGACGTCAGGTCGGCCAACTCATAACGTATTGTTGCCATAGACTGAGTTATAATTATTATTTTATTTATGGTCTTCACGCGAAATGCATTCACGCAGTTTATCAGAAATACTATATGGATGATCGGTTTATCATGAACCACTTGATTAAAATACAATACAATGTTGAAAAAATTGATTTTGATTTTTAGTTACATAAATCTCTTGATTTATTAACTAATAATTACTTTTTAAAATCATCTCTTATAACTTATAGGGGTGTCAACTTAATTTTTTTAAAAGCAACATATATAGTTTAACTATCTTATGAAATAGAAAATTATCTAATTAAGAAAATAACTGTTCAAAAGCAACTTTTGAACCAGTACTTCAGAAGTTATTCTCATTTTTATATCTAGGAAGGAGGAAGAGTCCCACCGGTAAATAACTAATATTAAAAATAGCAGCATTCACTCTTCACTTCCAGTATTTACATTAAATTGATAATAACATCCAAAGTACTGGTCCAAAAGTTACTATCAACCAGTTATTTTCTTGATTCCATCGTTATTTATTAACTAACCTAGTTTATTATGTACATTGTCGTCTAAAAAAAAACATTGACACTTCTATACATTTATAAGGGATAATTCTAAAAAGTAATTTATAGCTGCTAAATCAAGAAATATATGTAACTAAAAAAAAACTTTTTTTCCCAATATTGTATTTATTTTGCGAGAATCATGAGGTTTATGATATGCCGAACACCTCTATTTTTTTTTAATTTCAAAAGCCCTAATATTTACTATGATAACTCTGTATTGAATGCGGTAGGGTTGTCTCTCGTTGACAACTGATCGCTTTGAATGGTTACGTGGATCTAAAGGTTCGCATCAAAAATAAGAATTTTTATCTAAAATAACTATAGTCATTTATAATATTTTTTGCTATAACTTCATTTTTATTGCTCAAAACGGTTTGCAAAAAGCAGCTTTCTTTTCTACGTAAAATTTCCTAAATATAATTCTATTAGAAATTGACTAGGTTTTCTCAACAATATTTTTTGGTAAATCCCTTTGCTTCGCATAATTTTCCCGGCTTATTATCATGCGTTGTAGGCTATACGGTCTATTTAAGGTTATTTTTTTACTTAGCGTGACCCTACCAAGTCTTTGGATTTAAAAGATGAAATAGTTTTACAATTAGAATATTTAAAAGTAACGAGCCTTTGTCATAATTATCACAAGAAGTCAATGTAGCCTATTGTAACACTAAATAGGCAACATAATTGACCAATAATTGGTTAGTATGTGGTAACCGTTTAATCAAAATGTGTTAAGTTAATATGATTTTATCTTTATGGGGATTAGATTTTGAAAATGGAAAACATTTTTATACTATTTTACAACTTTATATTGAAACGTTGACTAATTTTGTACAACCACGATGAGTCGTATGAAAGTTCCATGTTGCAGTAGATGCAAAATGAACTATTATGTTGGAGGTAAAGCATTATTCAAACAATATGTTACAAATAATAAAAATTGCAAAAAATGAATAACAGCTATAACATGAGTATATAATAATTGTCATAACTACTAGTTTCTTAAAAATTGAAATAAGATACTATTTTTAAGACAATTTTTGAGATTAATTTTTTTATATATTTAATTTTGTTTATTCTTATTTATTGTCATATTTATTTTTCAAAAATATTTTTATTAACAAATTAATTTGATTTATAAAACTTAACTTTAATTAAGATTTTTGAAATGTTTATATGATTTACTTGACGATGAGGTAAGTTGAAATTAGTAGTTATTAAATAATTATTATATACACAGAGCATACTTGTTATTTTTTTTTACTAATTTTATTATTTGATGGGATCGGCCACCCTTATCCTAAACTTCCACTAGACACGATCTTCCACATCCTCTACACTCACATTAGCTGTCCTCATATCACAATTACTTGTAATATATTATTTTAAATAAAAAAGAGAACAAAGTTTATATTTAATAATTAAAACCTATAAATACTGGTTTATCATGTTTAATTATAAAATTCCTATTAAATAAATTCAAAAATGCACATTAATAATATACTGACTTTAATAAACTTATTGCCAAGTTTTTAATTATTAGTACTTGATATTTTCTTGTTTGATTTTTTTTTTTTTTGTAAATAAAAAATATAAAAAATAATTTATTTTACAAATAGGTTAAATTCACTATCTTACAATTCGAATTAATCAAAGATAAAAATTTTTTTAATGAAACATCACTTTTAAAATAAATTAATTTCCCTACAATTTCATTTTTAAAATATTTTTTTATTAATTAATGTAGCCTAGCATACATTTAGTGATTGATTTAATGGCCACTAGATTTCTTTATAAATAATTATAATTAATAGAATTGTTGGAAAATGAACCAACTAAAAAATAACTAGTTGATAACAAATTTTGAACATGACTCTGCCATGCTAAACCTCCCATCAAGGTATAAAAACATTTATAAATATGGACTTCTGGCTCAAAAGTTGCTATTGATTAGTCATATTCTATTATATAAACTAGTTAAAAATGTATGTTTCCAAAAAAAAAAAAAAAAAAGTTTGTACCCTTATAAGATATATGGGATAGACCTAAAAAATATTAATTTATAAATTGTAATAAATAATCATTAAAGTATTAAAATAGAAATACTATTAAATAAGCAAAAAAAAATCTCCATATTATTATTATTTTAGAAGTAATCTAGTGTTTGATAATCAATTACTCTGTATTAAGAATATTATTTCAGAAGAGGGGCTCTAAACTGACAAAGCTGTTCCTTTGCTTTTTTCCTTTAAATGTTTATGCTATTTATAATATAAGATTTATTAATATATTTGTTTCAATAAAAAAATTTTAATTTGTTTTTTTTAGATATTAATGGACCAAAAATTCCATTATTACTGAAATGTGGCCATGATATGTGTCGAAATTGTGTTAAATTTTTGTATAAAAGAAATTCGGAAGTAACTTGCTTTATTTGTGAAAAAGTTGATAATTTCAAGTAATAATTTAATTAAATTCACAAAAAAAAAAAAGTATATTGGTTTAATATTTCTTTTTTTTAGGTTTGATAATGAAAATAAAATAAATCTTCCAGTGCATTATTATAAAATTGGCCAAGTTTATTGGCTGACATGTAAAAAACAAATGGAAATCCACCGTAGTATTTCTAACTTAAAAATGACTGATTGTCCCACATATTCATCAGAAAGTGTTCATGGTATTTTATAAAGGAATGAAAAAAAATGTATATTAGACTTACATTTATTCTTTTATCATTTTTTTTATAGATGTCTGTGATAAGTGTCAAAGAAGTGCAAATTGTTTTTGTCATCACTGTAATGTAGTATTTTGTTATAGTTGTTTTGATGAAGTAACTACACTTTTTTATTAATTTAAAAAATTAGTAGAATCTTAGTGTAATTTCTTATATTTATGTTATTGTGGTCGCATTGTTATACATCTATAGAGAGTGTTTAGCAAGCAAGGAAACAGGTTTTTATTGTTTTAATTGTAACAATTTACCTGTTTCCTTACTTACTAAACACTCTGTACAAATTTTGCATTAAATTTAACTAGTTTATATATTATATTATTTTTGAATTGCAAATATTCTTTAGTTACAATGTTAATTTATAAATTTTCTATATAAATTGGAATTATTTGTATAATTAAAAAAAAATTTATTCAATTAAATAAAACGTTTTAAAATAATTTTTCAATTCACTTTTTTTCTTTTAGGTACATACAGAAAATCAAGTTATGTCCAAACATATTCCAGAAATGATCGATAAAATTAATATTGTGTTGAATTCTGAACCGAAATGTGATCAACATTTTAAGACTATTGAGTTTATTTGTGTAACTTGCGAAGTAAATATTTGTTCATATTGTTTAGTTCAAAGTCATAAAACTCATGATGTTTCTACTCTTGAAATTTATGTAAGGTTTTATTAATGTTAAAATATTATATTAAAATTTATTTAAATTTTAATTGTAATTAATTATTGTTTTTTCCTTTTAGAATTCAACAACTTTGGAAAATTTAACTAAATACTCAAATAAAGGTTCACTACTTCTAGGAAAACTTAAAAGCACCCGTGATGTAAGTAAAATTATTATTTGAATTCAAATGTTTTCACTAATATTTTAGAGTTTAGTTGGTATCTTAACTTAAACTAGTTTTATATTTAGGATTGGTCTTAACCCCCTCTGTTTCCCTTCTAAAACCTAAATAATACTTTTTGAAAATATAATAATTTTAGATGAAGTTTAAAGACTTTATTCTAGATTACTAATAGTATATGATAAATAAGAAGTCATTAATAATATTCATTACAAACATACTGTATAAATAAATGAATACCATTCTTAAATTAAAGTCATTTTGAAGTATTTTTTTTTAGACCATGTTTTTCCCAAATTATCAATCATGAAGTATTTTTGTGTTCATCCCTTACTCTTATAAGGGTAGCAACTTTATTTTTTTTTTTAATACATAATTAACTAGCTTATTTATTTTATAATGATCTTATTAAAAAAATGTCTGGTTATTAACAAATTTTGGACTAGTGTTTCATAAGTTATTAAAAATTAAAACTGAAGGCAAAAGATAAGATGTGAGTTATTTTTATCACTATAGACTTATACGCTCTTCTTCCTATCTATGTATAAGTGTTAATAATTTCTTTAATACAGATTAAAAACTTGTTACTGACTAGTCATTTTCTTTATTAGATTATTATCTATTATATAAGGTGAAATAACAAAAGATGTAATGGGAGCTTCAGAAACTTTGTCTCTCAATAATTGGATAATTATATGTATTACCTTATATGTATTTAGAAAATGGTACTAATTTTTGCTCTACTTTCTAAAAAATTATTTATTTGCTCTATAAACACTAGCCAAATAAATAGTAACTTTTCCCCAGCGTTAAAAAAAAAAAGAATGACTTAATTAAATAAGGAATACATTTTTATGAAATTATATGAGTATAAACTTGGGCTATATCGATATTGTTTCATTAAATTATTTGAAATTTGCAAGGAAAAGATTAGAAAATTAGCTAGCAATGTTAATAAGGCTTTCGTTTGAAGAAATAAAAAAAAATATTATTTATCTTCATTTACATAATTTAAAGTTTTCTGAACCAAGTAATAAATACTTTGCCTATAACAATTATTATTCTCTTTTAAAAACTAAAAATTTTCAATGGCTTCTTAGAGAATTAATTCGAATTACCTGAGTTTGAACATTTATTATATTATAAAATTTATTTTTTTATTAATTTAGATAAAACATTTTTAAAAAGTATTTGTAAACCTTTCAACTTTAGCCATTAGTCAGTTCATAAAAATTCTTAAAAAAAAAATTAAACAAAAATATTAAATTAATTTATTGAAAAAAAATAAGTTCTATATTAGTACAACTTATAGTGTAATTTAAAAATTATTAAATATTTTACAATAAATAATAGGAAGATCATAACTAAAACAAATTATTTACATCTTAACCTAAATTATAATTTATTATTGCACAATTTCATTGAGTAACATGGAATCTAACATCTTATAATTTTAGATTATATATTGGCACGCATAAAAGATACAGTATGACTGTATTTGTTTTAAAAATAAAATAAACTTATGATTTCCATTTTTGAAAGTTTGTTTGAAATGTAGAATTATTATTGATTATTATATTCTTAAATAGATGAGCTTTTAAATTTGAGCAACCTTACAATATAATATTACTTTTTTTTAATTTGTTCACATGAATTAATTTTGATTATAAATATATCAAAATTACATGTTAATGGCACATTCTTGTATATCTGTTGGTTGTATTGTGAATATATTTCTTAAATAACTTTCTGACTGATATATGTTTTTGTTATTGCTGTTCATCAATATTTGAGATGTTGTTAATAAATTCCAAATATTTTGCTATAAAAGTCCACATAATATGGTCTTATGTATCAACATCAAGAAGTTGTTGATAGGGTGTTCTGACTGTGTCTGGCTCTAAAGTAGTTGAATTTGTTGTTAGCATCTTCATCATAAGTTCTGGTGACGGTTTCTCTTTCTGGTGACTTTTTTGGTTTTCTGTTTCTTTGAATTTTTCTTCCAGATACCTATCTACCAGTGGGCCTTCGAAGTCTTCTGGAAAACTAGGTTTGGATGGTATAATGTATTTATATAGTCGTTCATTGAGTACGTATAATTGGGCAGTTGTATCGCATTTCACATTAAACCACCAGTCGCACGTTAGTGATACTTGATTAAATATGGTTCCATTGGGACATAAAAAGGACGCTTGACCTCCATTTAAATCGCAATAGTGCCAAACCTGAATCAAAAAATAAAATTAATTACCGATAAATACTTATACTATGTAAAATTTTCGTTTAAAAATACCTGACAATGTGTTTCAGGGTCTCCAAAGAATCCCTTATATCTTTGAGTTTTGCAGTCGAAGCTGGTTTTGGGTATGGTTGAAAATACAGGATAGTCTATACCAGGTCTTCCTGGGTTACTTGTATCGGCCGTATCATCGTAGTCGTTCCATTTATGTTGTTGTGGTCTAGGAGTGGTCGTTATCTTTGGTCTCGTTATTAGATTAGATTTAGATTGTTCGTTCGACTCCTTTTGTAATATCTGCAATACAGCCGATAGAGTTTGAATACTGGAATCTATATTTTCGGCTGTTATCTTATTGGACAGTCGACCGCCGAGATCGTATTCGTGTATCAATTCGTTCAGAGCTCCGTATTTATCAGTGGTTGTGATTGGAAGTCGTGATGATAGTGAAGGAGTCTGTGGTATAGTTGACGGCCGAGTCGGTAATGTTGACGGTAATTTAATTGTTGAAGTCGTCGGTCTTTTAGTTTTAACCTTAAGTTTTTTTGGTTTGACAGTTGTAGTGGAATAGTAGAAAAATTGCGGATGTTCAGTAGGCGGTAAAGTTGGTAGAAAACCTCCAAACTTGAAATTTGCTTGGGTGTCAGTTACAACAGACCTAGGACTCGTATAAACTGAGTTGTATTGTAATTGTTCATCGGGAGTATATACATAAGAATTTAGACGTTCTGTTTCCACTTCGTATGGTGGATTTTGTGATGTGGCAATCACAATGGGTCTATAGGTTTTTGGTGAACTTGGAAATCTCAAGTAACTAGCAGTGGTAGTTTGTATTGGCTGACGGAAAAAATTGTTGTTAAACAATTGAAACCCGCGGTATTGGTGATCCAGTCTTAAGAAGTTCTGCTGTTGGCGGTTGTTTGACTGTTTTTTATTTATCTTTTGATTGTCAGTTTTAGGCTTGATTGTTGTTGCTTGCAACCGTGGGCGGGGGGTACTCGAAATATCGACTGGACTTTTGAATTGTTGATGGTATTGAGCCAGTTCGTTGTCATCACTAGAACCCACCATGTAATATGTCACGTACGGCACCAGTCGTCGGTTACGTTCGGCGGACGTTAGGAAAGGCGCTGTGTCATTTTTTATCGTTTGCTGGCCCTCGTCCCAAGTTTTCGAGTCTACTGTGAACATAATAATACAAATTCAATTATATCACACGACGTGCGTAAGAAAGTATGCGCTAAGAATAATCAACAATCGTAATAAATAAAATGATGAAATTGAGATGACTATCGTTAGTATCGACTTTTCATTGTATAATTGATTTTATTGTATTATATGTAACGCGACACACCTTAAAATGGAACTATAGTATTCGTATATAGTTTTTTTCGGTTGATTTAGATGATCAAATTATGTTACGTTAGTCATTATTAATAAAAATTGTTAACAATGTATGTTAATATTATAACATAATTATTAATATTCATAATTAATAAATGTTTTTAAGTAATGATTTTTTACAAATTTTTACAATGATTTTCGAATTCTTTGAAAATGTAGTTGTTTAGATATTTTGTAATCATTACTTAAATATAAATCATAGTCACAAATATTTTTCAATTATAATTTATAAACCCAGATCCAGATAATATATATATTTTATTAATATTATTAAAAAAAATCTAACAGTGACTAACATCACTATCATAATAAATTGCTCTGATACGAATCTGTCAAACTTTTTTGTTAAAATAGTGTATTATTAGTCTATTATTGTCAAACTAGTTACGCAAGCTACTTATTAAAAATTAGCCTTATGAAACTACAAATAAAGTGAACATTTTTCATAGTAAATGAACTGTTGAAACGTTTTTTTTTAATAATAACATATGTTTAAAAAACTACAATTTTATATAGACTTCGATTTTGTCAGATGTCTCGGAACATTATCAAAAGTTTAAAATAAAGTCATTTTTTTGTAAAAATAGCGATTTTTTTTTTACTTTGGTTTCTGATTTCTCATAGAACAATCACCGGAACGTTTCCTTTTTTTAATATTGTACTACATCTCAAAATCTTATAATATAAGTTAATCCGCCACTGGCTATTGATAAACTGTATATATACGTAACTTAAACTTAGGCTAAACTATACGGAGTAGTTGAATAAATATCGCATATTATAAATTTTATTAGAAAATATATTTTCTCGTGACATTTATAAAATCAAGCACCATTCCATTTATTTTTAAATTGTTGAAAGGAAATTTTATTTGAGCCTATTTTTTATGATAGATAAGTTTCGAATTTAACGAACCGCGTCTATCTTATTATATTATTAGCAATTATTTTATTGTATAAATCATTTTTATGTTACTTGTTTGTCTACGTTTTCATCAATCATAAACTATACTAGACAATTAATTGTATTGTCTTATTATTTATTTTAAACATACTGAAAGTTTTTACAGAATAAAAATTATTAAAGAAATAACTCTGTAATGATTAATTAATATTATTAATGATTAATGTCATGAAACTCGTATTTTGTGCGCTATAATATTTTATTTTAGTTTTTTATTAAAAAAACTCATTTATTTCAGAATAACATCTGTTTGCGGTGAAAGTTTGTTAGTTTTACACTGTGCGACTGGACTTCCACAATTAATTATGGAATGTCTCTTGCAATATCCACCACTAAAGTAATAGTTTTTCATTTAGGTTTATTGATTTATAACTTTTTAAAAAATGTATGAGCTGTTATGTTGACCATTATGAAACTACACATAGAATAAAAATTACAAATAGTTGAACTGGAAATATGTGAATAGTCGATATTAATAGATGTTACAGTTGTGTCTTCTTACTAGCATATTGCATCATCATTGTGCACAAGCTTGAAAATAGGTGTTATTGCGATTTCTGTATACTCCGTATCGTTTATATTTCTATTTTCAGCTCTTATTTATGTAATAAAAATTTTTACATGTCAATTTAAAATTTCATATTTCTATCTGGAGTTTCACGCGCGGTCTGCTGTTGATAGATAATTGTAAATAATTATGGGAATAAACTAAGAGTGGACATTCTTTATAAGGCACTGTACGTTTTGTTGCTAGCGCATAACTCTTGTATTTTGGCAACCAATTTCTATGAACAAAATAATTTTCCCATGGTTCTCAGGTTGATTTTGATACTTAAAACGTTTACTACTAAAATAACTTTTTAATTTTGAAAACAATATGCGGATGTAAAATGTTTTATTTGTTATTACGTACTTGTAACTTTCTTAAGGATTGTACTCGGAGAAATCTTTCGCCGAATTCAAAATGTAAATCCATGATTACAAAATGATTATACCTCAAGAAAAAAAAAACTTTGGAAAGGCCATTGCATGTGACCACGTAAATATGATAAGGTATGTGGTTCATATGACATACATTTTTTTATAAACGCGGAAACCAATATCTTAACATTTTAATCAAGTTTATTATTAAGTAACGTAATAACAGATTAGAAAATGTTAGCAAGTTGTCATTTTTATACATCCAGTCTTCCTTTAAGTGTGCATCACATTTATTATGTATGAAGTCGTTTAGTATGTACGTTTTTTCGAACAACGTAAATGGCACGTCAATTTCAAGTATTCACACCATATTTATGTAACTTCACGTATTAATGGAATATTGATAGTTGATAGTCGGTAGATAAAATGTATCTAGAGCTTAAATACATTTTTTATAATAATAAAGAATTGAATCAATTTGTTTATTTTTATTGATTCAATTATCATTTTTTAAAATTTATTATTCATTAAATAGTTTTAATGTTCAAATTTAATGTACTTTCTGGTGTGTCTTAAATTTCAATACGTGTCAAATATTTTATGATTTTTAGTGACAACTTCTAAAATTCTCTTACTTAAATTAAAAAATAACCAAGTGTAACATAAACACATTACTCAATCAGTATGATTTTTTTTTTTTTTTGGTTTAATTATAAAATATTACTCATAGCAATTATGTTACATCTATTTATTTTTTACTCTTTTAAAATTTTTATTTAGTAATTATAAGAAAACGTAATAAAATATAAAAATTGTTTCATCCTTACAAACTAGTGCTCAAATAAGTCAATAGCAAATTTTTTATATTAATATAATGAAAAATATCTATCACAGATGTATATTAATGAGAACCTAATAATTATGTTAATTGGACATTAGAAATAACTGTCTAATTACCTATTTGATTATTATTTAGCATTCTTTGTCAAATATTATCATAAAAATTGAAAAAACAGATGCTGATGACTTAAAAAATAAAAGATTTTATTTTATTATGATCTAAGATAGTTAAAAGGCTCAAACTATTTTTACTTTAGAAGGAAGAGAAGATTTTTCTTGTTAAAAATATTTTTAATCCAAAAATTGTGAGGAGCTAAATATCATATTTTAATTTATTATTTTAAATAATTCGAATGAAATAAAATATATAGTGTTAAAAAAGTAAGGAAACAGTTAAATTGTTACAAATAATGGGAACAATAGAAACCTGTTTTCTTATTTATTAAATATCTATATAAAATTTTCAAGCTCCAAAAAAATTACTTTCTAATTCTATTTGCTCAAATGTAGTTTTGTTATTCGAGTTTATTTTTATTTATCATAATTTAGAGCTATTATATATATATTTGAATTTTAGTTATTTAAGAAGGATATTAAAAAAATTTAGAAGGTCAATTTCTTTCAAGTTGAGAAAAATAAGATTTTAAAATAAATTTTACTAAAGTTTTTTTGTAAAATATATTAATAATCAAAAAAATAATTTTTAATATTCGGGGAATCATTTACTTCCATTTTTTTTTTATCAATACATTATATATAAATATTATGAACATTCATTGTATACATAGTTTTTTTTTTTTTTTTTTAAGAAAATTGCGAATTATTTTAGAAATGAAATATTTTATAATTTGAAATATTAATACACAATGTCCAAAATTTTTATTTGGCTTGCTTAAGAGAAAATTTTGTTTTGTGATACTTATTATAAAACAACATCATTTTTATTATTTATAATTTTTGAACTGGAGAAATTTATTTCTTGAAGTATTGAGTTTACTTTTATACGATTTTTGTGTTACCTTCTTAGGTCTTCACTTTTTTTTTAAATTGTCATCATGAACTATTTTCACGCTCTAAATATCCTTCAACCAGTTTTAACAGAAGGCACAGAATGAAATATGTTATTGGGTCCAACGACTTTTCAGTGTTATTAGATATGTTAGAGATATGCCAACAAATAGGCCGATTTGATCACGATTTCGAACAAAGCTTATTACATGCGATTTTTTTTAAATTTTCCATCTATGTTATTGGTTGACCTCTAAACTATCATTTGTTGATTATTTATATATTTTTGTCGGTTGCCGGATACCTTAGTTAACGTGTTCACTTTCAAAGCAATTCCAACCGTCCGTACCATTGTTTTTACTGTTACAAAATCGTGTGTGTTGCTTCATAGGTTAACACTTTATATGTTAAAAACTCACCGATTACGTTTTTTATGTATCTTATTACCATTTCTAATAGTACCATTAGAAATGGTAATAGGATACATCTTACAACAAAATCGTTAAACACGCATTTAACGAATTTTTTTAAAAGATGTATATATATAAATGTATCTAAATAAAGGGTATTATTTGCTACTTATTAAATGAAGATTTTACTTGCATGAAAAATTTTTTTTTTTAATGCGTCACTCGATTACTGTAATTTAAATATTCGTTATCAACGTGTAAAATATTAGTAGTATAATCTTTTATTATTATAAAAGCTAATATTAGCTCACTATTAGCTATATATTTTTAAATTAATTATCGAAAAAGAATCAGTGGATCTGTACAATTTAGGGTCAAGTTGTTATTTTTATTAGTATTAAGCTACGATATTAATAAATAATAATTATGGTGTAATTATTAAATATTTAATAAATAATTTTAATGATATATTTATTGAAAAATAATTTAACAATAAGTTAATCATATACAATAGATCGCGTATTTAGATCCATTATAAATAAAAATTTATAAGAAAATTAATCTAATGTAAAATAATTATTTAATCAGAATATTATCAAGTAGAAAAAAATAAAAAAGTAACTACAGTATAGGGTAACTGATTCAATTGCTAAACACTCTCTAATAAGTGAACAACTATTGGTATTACTTGAAATATTAACTTTCTATCATCAAAGTTGATATATTTTTTTTAAATATGATGCATGATTTTAATGGCAAAGTTTAAAATACTTATGTTAATATAAAAATATGCTACGAGCAATCAAAATTAAATTCTGGGTTTTTTTAATTTAAATTAAATCTAGTAGGTTTGTTTTTTATTTTATATCTGTAAAAGTATTATATTATCGAGACGAGTTACAATACATAATATAATTAATAATTTTAAACAATAACTTCACTAATTCACCTTTGTTTGAGGAGAACAATTTTTTCTTAATCATAAAATAAAAATATTACTTTTGTTTCAAGTTCTGATAATAGTCTGACTTAGATGAGTCTATTATCATCCCAATTAAAATGTTTATTCCTATGATTAATATTCTAATAATTTAAAAAAAAATGTGTCAACCATTACTTTATTTTTTAATATCAATATTTGATTCGCTAAAAAGTAAATAAATTTTAAGGATTTGAACAGCTTACACTCTTAAAAGACTGTAGGTTAAATCTTTAAAGTAACTGATTAATTTTTTTTTTAACCAATGATAAATGTTAATAATACGAATTGTGTTGTTGAAAAAATGGAAGAAATTTTAAATTTTTACCTGAGTTTCCGATTCCGTGAACTGAGGTGTAACACAACCACAGAACGCAATAAAACGCGGTACCACTATACATGTTCATCGTTTACATTACACTGTACACGTTAAGACGAGTCGCGAGCTACTGTCCAAGAGATGAAGGTCCTCCTCCTCGAAGAGAACGGGAATAAAATGAGAAATCTAAATTACTAAAATGGCTTGATTTTATTTACTATATTAATTAATGTTAGGACAGGTATGATATTATTCAAATAATTTCCGATTAATTAAATAACATAAGTATTTTTATATCTTGTTTTTTTTTTTAATATAATTTGATGGATTGAGATTTTCGAAAGCAAAATAATAATAAAAATATCTACTCATGGTATTATGATTAATTACTGTAGTCAATAATCTATACTAAATTTTTGGCGGAGACTTAAAACCATACCTTCCTCTTTGGCTACGTCATTGAATATAAATTTGAGAAGTTCTTATTTTCATATAGTACTCTAAATTATAATTTTTTATTTTGATACGTATCTACTCTTAGAAAAACTGCACTTGATAAATTTTATATTGTTGTGAAAAGTGTACAATGTCGTTCTGGTCTATAATCTTTATTTATAATAATTACCAGTGAAACTAGAGTTTTGAAAGAGTCAGTAGAAATACTCAATTCATAAATTAAGCTAATAACGAGTATGTTATTATAATTTTTTTTTTATATACAAATTGATTTATTATTTTTACTTTTAACCAATAATTAATTGATAAGATGTTGAACTTCAATTTAAACTGTTTCCTTTTTTGTTTGCCTTTTAATTACGGTACCTTACTTTTAATTATTAAATTGAATTTCATTTTTTTATTAAATTCTGAATGATTTTTTATCAATATATTTTTTACAAATATTCAATTTACTGTCAATGAGAAAATCTTACTTGCATGCTTCTTTTATTTTTATTCACTTGATTTTAGTATTTAATTATTTTAATTTGTCTAATCTATGTAATGTTTTGAGTCTTTTTATTCATTATTTTTAACTGATTAACCCACAATAATTTCGATTGCATATATTACATTTAATATTATGTTATTACTAAATAGTATTCAATGCTTACGCTAAACGAAAAAAAAGGTTAAATATCAATTGTTACATATCTTGATTACCTAACAAAATATTCTTATAAGTGTATTGATCTGATATATTTATTCTGTATTTTTGAAATTAGATTATACTTTTGATTATTACGGCCAAGGTTTACAAAAAATTTTTATATGTCAATACACTAAAATGTTTATTCATTTATTAATAATTACTTAATAGAGCATCAATAACGCGAGATCCAAATTAGATAGAATACCTGTGAAATCGCCGGAGCATAAGCTCTAGATCACTTAGACACAAGAAATCTCAATGACGTCGAATGGTAATATTATTAAGTGGGCACCGCGTCCTTTATTATTATTAGTCACGCTATTTTAATTTTACTATTTAATTAATCCATTGATTTTTTGATATGTAAACAACTCGATATTAGTAATATATATATATATATATATATATACTGAATTGTCTGTTACAAATTATAATTTACAATTTGTAAGTTACAATACTTTTATGAACTCTAAATTTAGTAATCACTTGGTAATAAACAGTAAATTAATAGTTTGATGCAATATAGATTATTAATGACCGAATATAGCTTCATAAGTTACCTACAATAATCTAGTTACATTAACTAATCTTCTCTATTTGATCATTAAATGGATAAAATTACTTTAAGTATGATTATTTTATATACTAAGTAACACAAAATCACATTTTCATGACCAACTACCGCTAATATGTAAGATTCTACAATATTAAAAAAAACTATATCTGAGCTAATAAATATTTGTACTTATATCAATACTTTTTAAGAATAAATTTTTAGTTAAGTTTTTAATTATGCAATGTGTGTGTAGTAATAGAACAAAGATATTCTATGTAAGTGTCACTATACTTTTTTGTTATTATGTCAATCTAACTAATGCGATATGGTCTGATGCAAATATATCATGGTTCAACTCGTTCGGCTATTATATATTTTTATTTAATATCACTAGGTTAGATTAACGATGAAAATACCATCCTTTTTGCTATAAAACATTATGAAACATTATAAACCATTATAATGATAAAAATCGAAAGTGGGCTATTCACTACAAATCTAGTATAAATATCAAAAACTGCTGGGCGTCATGTAAAATATTAGCGCCAAAACCTGAAAAATTATACGAGTAACACAGTTATTATGATAATTTTTGTGGATCGTCTTATTTTTACATTAACTCAATAATAAACTTAGAATCTTAACACGAAACATAATTTTTAAGCATTGCACACAAAACATGCACTGAAATATTTCATAGTAAAAAATGTTGGATAATATTCAGATAAATGTTTTATAAATAAAATCTCTATTATTTGTTTATCATAATTTATGATTATCCGGCGCAGCTAAATCGTCTTAAATTCTGTAGGTATTTTTAAAATATTGCTCATAGTTTTGTAATAATTAAAACGTTTTAACAAATTATACAATCTTCTAAGGTGGTTTTAAACAAAATGGTATAGCTGTTTTTCAAATATTAAAATGAATAATTATCAGCACATATATTTTTTTGATTTCACAAAAACAGCTTTCATGATTTAAGCTTCTTTTAATTTTTTTGAACTATACTTTTAATATTTTCACCTATATTATATGTGTTTGAGTGAACAAAAATTTTATCAAGTTATTACAAATATAATAGATTGTAGTATAAACAGTATTATAAATATAGTTTTTTTAAATCGTATGTAATGTAAAAAGTTAATTATTTGTTTATTTTTAATTGCAAATTATAACTTATAAATTATTGATTTTTATTTTCTATATCGAATCTTATTAAAATTCTACTTTCCTTTTCTTTTAATGGAACTATTACTTCGTTTATTATATCTTATAATTAAAGTTATTTTATGGATAGTAAATTAGTATACAGGATGAAACTAATCTAACTGACGAATCCTAAAACTTTTGATACAATTAGAAATGTTAACTGTATTTTTTTGAACTTTGTTTAAGTCATATTTGTTTATTATTTTTTTCATAATATTAAAAAAAAAAATTTATTTTATATTTTTTCAACATTTCAAAATAATTAGTTTTTAGTACTTTTTTTTATGAAAACGATTAATATGTTAATTACAATTTTAGAGCAAATATTTATTGAGTTACAATCATTTTAATTAATAGAAAAATAATTTATTTTCTTTTTTTATTTTATTATAAAATTAAAATGATAAAAAGTATGTTTTTAACGTAGTCTACAAATACAAAAAATGTTTCAAAAAATTACATCGAAGTGATTATTGGAACAATAGTTATTAGAAGTTATCAGCTAGATCTGTTTTACCCTATACTATGTGGCCTATGCAACTTATATGATAACTTAAAATTTTCTTAATTGGATTATTTAAATAATTTATTAAAAATATTTTTTCATTCTCTTGTTTTTTTGTTCTCGAGAAAGTCGTGATTATGTGGATTTAAAAGTTTTTAGCTACATCATTACATCGTCTTTTTTATTGTTTTATTAACACAAATGGTTCTATTAATCTATTGTGGTATGATACCCATTATATTCTACAAAATATAGCAAGTGTTTGATTGGCAGATGTCTACCGCATGTTTTTAAATTATTAAAAGTATTATAAAATATATCTTTGATTTTATTGAATCATCTCGCATTCTTCGTTAGAGCAAAGGTTAATCTACTAGAAAAGACAATGGTCAGTGCTATTATGTCATGTGTGTACGAATCAGTGTATGTGAATACTATGTGCACGAGTATTACCGTCTGTTGGAGGAAAATAATATTGAGAAAATAGTACGTGTTATTATAATAATTATTAGATGTAACTATTATTATAATAATAGTAATATTATATGCACAAAAAAATATTTGTGCATGTATAGTGTTTTTAATGTTGACAAAAAATGAAAATAGTAAAATAAGAACAAGGATATCTTATTGCGGTGACTATTGTGGCGTTGAGATTTAATACTAATCGTCTAGAATGCTAAAATTACAATTATTACAAAATTAATAACAATTACATTGTTTTAGTATATTCAAATAAAATTTGAGGTAATCCGTTGGTGGTCCACCTTTGGTTAGATCGCCAAAAGTTCGACGACCCATTCTTTGTAAATTTTCCAATATACAATAACTGAGTCTCCAAACAATCACCACATCTAATGATCAACAATAACTATAACATGAAATGATAATATTTTTGTCACGTTATAATAACATTCATTCCAATCTCGCTGTACTTGAATCGTTGCGTGACAGTATTCGCAAAATAATAAAATTACAGAAATCGTTTTGACAAAAAAAAATAGATGTACTAACTTATTTGTGTTCACCTTTTACATTTTCAATCGTTTTATTGGTTTTTACAGTCACTGGTAATCTTCTGACAAGACTTCGTGAACTTTCGGTTCTAAAACATTACTATCGTTTCAAAACTATAAATAAATTCTAAAAAATTGCTTTCATTTTTGTAGCTCATATTAGTTCTTCGAAAAATATATTGATGTTTATTATAACTGACCACGATCAGTTAAACTCTTGCAAGATATTAACCGGTTTGTATTAATATAATATTTAATTCCATGTGCTAATTACGACTGATTGATGTGTGTTTAAGTTATAGTAATTATTTCCGGTGTTTATTTTGTGATAAATATAACTTAAATATTATAATTATAATAAATCGTTAACGATTTTCGGTTCGTTACGATTGTTTTATTAATGTATTGTACAATCTACAAAAGCAATTTTCGAGTTATCTAGTCTACTACCCACCTTAAAGTAAAAATAGATTTTTTTTTGCTAATTATTATTTTTTTATATATATAATTATATGAATAAAATAATGTTCTTGGCAAAAATCTTGTAATTAAAAAAAAAAGTTATTTGGGAATCGTTGGTACTATTTCCTACTGTTTATTTTTAATTATATAGTACGATTTTCTACCTAAATGACATAATGGCTTATAATTAAAAAAGCAGCATCTTTTTTCTTCTTTTTTATATTGTGTATACACACAGTTAGTGCGTCATAGTGGTTATTTAACGGTTTCTTTAGGTTTCCAGAATTGTAATTAAATTAATTTATACGCAAAGTCGAGTATTAAAACTTTCTACATTAAAAAAAAAACAAAAAATACTCGAGTTCTTTGTAGACCGAGTAAATGTGTATAATTCTTGTGAGATGATGTTTACGTGAATTGAATTCTCCGAGTCAGTTAATAGTTCTGACCACTTTCGTTTTTAAACAATTAATACAGATCTATTAATTATTTTCCTACTTTTATATAATTTTCTTATTCAATAAATTACTCGATTTAAAAATCTTTAAACTAAAATCTGGTTAATCGCTTATTTTTAATAATGGCTAATTTATTTATTACTGCTTTATTTACTATCTATTAAAGGATAATGAGTATATTTTAAAGCTTATTACTTTCTCAATCTTCTTCTTTCTATTATGACATAAGTATTATCAATAAAATAAAAATAGAGCGAAAGCTGAAGAAATCCTTGTAAATTTGACTGTGCAAATGAACCATTGAAGAGATTATAAACTGGTCTTGACATTGATCTCTGGTTGTTATCATGTGTTGCCAAAGGATTTTTGTATTCAGTGAAAGCAGTAAAAATTGTAGTTATAAATGCGTTCTATCCAAAACGTATTAATTGTTTTCATTCTTTCGTTGATTTTTCTATGTATTTTAAAAGTAAAGTAACTTGGGGTAAAAGTGCACACATTTTAACTTGCGAAGCTGAGAACGTATTAATTTTACTATGTGTTTTTTTTAATCTGTTATCACTTTTTCTCAGCTCTCACCCAATTCGATTTCTTTCAACGATACGTCAAAAGATCACAAAGCGTATCTAGTGCAAGACATTACCCCCAAAAATTAGAAGAGTTTCCCTCGTTACCTATAAATGGGAAAAATCTCCGAAAAAATTACAATTTTAAAAATCAGTAATTTTTACATTTTTTTTCTTTAATCTACCATAATTTTATTAAAAATGTCTATGAATGTAATAATTTATAAATGTCCCAACTTTGTCGCGTTGCCACTGTGTTGGGGTATTTTAGATTCGATGGGAAACTGAGAAAGTATTAATTTCACTATGTTTTTTTTTTTTGCCCGTTACTACTACTCATTTTCAGCTCTCACTAGACCGATTTTGATGAACAGCACGTCAAATGATCACAAATTGTATCTAGTTGAAGACATTACCCTCAAAAATTGAAAAAATTTCCCTCGTTCCCTGTAAATGGGGGAATTCTACAAAAAAATTACAAATTTAAAAATTGCTAATTTTCGAAATTTTTTCAATTTTTTTTTACTTAAAACTGCCATAACTTTATCAAAAATGACTAAATCAATATAATTTTTTTTATAAATCTGACCATTTATCTGCCCACGGGGAGAAATTCAAAATGACAACTTTTTCACAAAAACTTTTTCAACTTAACTTTTGAAAGTTTTTCGGAAATACTGACACTTTTATATATATCTTAAATTAAAGCTAATGTAATGTAATTTATCATGGAAAAAAAAATTTCGGACTTTATTTTGTCTTCATGGTGAAAATAGTTACCAAATGCTATTTTTGAAACCCACAGGGGGGGGATTCTAAATGACAACTTTTTATCAACTTAACTTTTAAAAGTGTTCCGGAAATACTGACACTTTTTCTCAATTTTTGACAAAAATTTCTGACTATTTTGTTTTCATGATGAAAATGGATATCAAAGTTAATAAAAAAAAAATTCTTAATAAATACATTTTTTATATTTTTAATTTTATAATGCTATAACTTTTTGAAAAATGTATGAATCAATACTTACGCTAGGTTTGAATTATAAAATACTGTATAGGTAAAAATGTAAAAATATACTTTCTAATTTAGCATAAATTATAAAAAATCTTTGCAATAATATATGATTATAAAATTTTAATTTTAATTGGTATTTAACGTACATATTTGTTTGTATTTTTTTAAACTATATGTACTTTAAACTACTTTTAAGATTAAACTGTATGTTTTTGCTTTCTTCTAATTTGAATTTATAATGACTTTAGTGTATATAGATTTGTCAATATTTAAATTGTACATTGAATTTTTGTGAGTGAATACTGTTAAATGAAGCATTTATAACTTTCTTACGTTTTAATGCCCAATTATATAGTTTGAATTATTAAAAATTAATTACACACGATGTCAACAAAATAGTTCTTGTCATATTTAGCGATTTATGAATACTCTGGGAATTACATTTACTATAAAACATACAAATATGTGCTTGTAGTTGTATCATACAGTACTTTAAGGCACAAGTGTTTATTTGTTTAGTTTTTGTTTCTGGTTTTTTATTTTAAAATTAATAGGTGTATAGCTCTATCAAGTAAGGTTCCCGAAGTTCCCCTCTTCCAAAAAGAAAACAAATTTAGAAATTTATATGTAGTGATATAAAAACATATTTAACTTGAGGTAATAACATCAAAACATATCATTAGCCCTTCAAAACTCGTGTTCTATTTCCGCCTGTGTGTTAAACATAAAAACAATAAACATAATTTCTTGTTTTTCTAAAAATTTTAATGACTTTATTTATGCTCTCCAGAATCTAATAAATATCTGTTGAAAAGAACTTGTGGATCAAAAAAGCAATCTTACAAACGATTAATCTATGGTACTATTTTAATTTTTCAGTTCATTTCAGTAGGATTTTCCAAACGTAATTATAAAATATTTAATAAAAATTATTTATAAATATATTTATTAAATTTAAAATTATTTTTATAAGATATGAGTAACACAAGTGGTTAGAATTAAATTGAGATAAGAAATTAGAGAATAAATGTTCAATATTATGAGCATAGCAAAGCAATTGTTGTTTTTTTACAGTGATAGAAGCATAATATGTTTATTCAAAACGCCCCAAAAAGACCTTGCTTAATAAGTATGATCTCTTTGGTACGATTTGTATTGAAAATATTAAGATTTAATTTTGACAGAAACCTTCGATTTTGAGGGATAGGACATCACAAATGTGATTTAAAATTTTGATTTTAGATAAAAACAAGTAATTGTAAAGAACCCCTATAATATTATTTCTTTAATGCAATTCGGTTTCATTTTTTCCTTTCTGTGATGTTTTTTTATAGTTTATAAGTGTATTTCCAAATCCACTTTTTTGTCCATATATTTTCGTATTACAGGTGATCATTTTATCACATACCAATTTTTTTTTTCAATAAATATAAGTTCAAAACAAGGCTTAACGTTGTACGTAAAAAGAAATTAGTTTTTGGAAAGGGATTCGTCTATATGTACCCAACCTCTTCTATTTTCTTTGAATTTTCGTTTGTTTAGTTTAATTTTGTATAAATCGTTATTTTATTAACCATTTCTTGTTATTTTTAAATAATCGTAAAATAATTTAAAATTGCATAATATTTGATCTTGTTCGTTTCTTTAAAACTTTAAAACAATTAGTCTTTTTTTTTTTTTTATTAATTTCTCTTATACTTTATTGAATACATGTTAGCCTTGACGAACGACGTAATCTCATGACTGACGTATTTTTCAGCGATATAATTTTTGTAATTCTTCATTAGTATAGGCAATTGTAAAATAGACCAATTTTTTCTTTTAAATAGATTATAGTTTTTATAATTGTTATCGATTTATATTCAGAAATTACTTTTATATAGTAATTTAAACATTTTATTCTAAAAAGTTATTATTAAAATAACCATAATTTTCATTATCAAGACTTTAACTATTTCCTTTATTTACGGAAGAGATTTTAATGTAAAATAATTAGTCCTTCAAATTTGATTGATGTGAGTAAATATAATAATATTTCATTGTCACGTTTAAAATGTTTATTCGGAGTTCAGTAATATTAGCTGTTTTTCTTTGATTTTATAATGTTTCAGTTTATTGTAGATAACTTGTGGAGGATAGGACATGTATTATCATTTCATGACACCTTTATATATAATAGTTGTAATAAATGAAGCAAATATAAATTTATTAATTTTATAATATTAATTAGCAAGAATTACTGAATTAGATTTTTAAATATTATTTTTATCAATATGTTTAAATTTGTCAAAATTAAAAATTAATTTAAATAAACAAATATCTTTATAAAAATTAATTCTTATTTTGAAAAACTTACTTTAAAATTAAGTTTTTAACGCTAATTATATAATTTTAAAATAGTAAGATGCTATTAAGTAGTATTAATGTGTAATCCTAAACATGTTACGTAATTTTAATTGTTTTCAAATAGATATAAAAATATATATATTAACTCAATAATTGTTCATGGCAGTAGACAACGTAATGTAATTCATCATAAATTCAACATCTTGAATGTATTAAATGTTTTTATAATATTTTATATAAAACATAGTGTAACAAAGATTCACTTTTTTTTTTTATGGGACATGTGTGTGATTGAACATATTTATTAATCTATAAATTATGTTGTATTTATTTTTGATTTACATACAGTGTATACAAAATATTTTACAAAGCTATACATTTATTCATATACGTTTTATTATACATTTAACCTAATATTTTTCGATTCTTTATAAAATTATTTATACTTAATTGCTATTAGGTACACATTTATTATAAAACAAGCACAACTCTAGTTTTTAAACGTTTTACAAACTTGGTGGGGTCCCGTTTCGTTTAATTTTATAATCAGTGTACTGTCGTATTTAAATAGTTTTACCAAAAGCTAGTAGTTAAATATGCATAGAAAGTAAAAGTTTTAATTTAGTTACAATACATTTTTTCATATGAAGCCCGGGTATCAAAAGCCTTGATAGAGAGATATGACATCGAGATGATTTTTATGAATAATTATTCTAAAAATCGATAAATAATTATGTTTTTTAGTGTTATTGATTATGATTTGAAAGGTTAAAAGGATAGAAGTAAGCAATTAGAGAAATATTTTATCCAAGAGCTCCTTGGTGACTATTCTATGTGGTCGGTCTGGTCGAGGGGTAGTCCGATACAACCTCTCGTTTATGTGATACAACTCTTTGCTTAAATCACACCGCACGTTGAACCACCAATCGCACACAAACACCGCCTGACTGAACTGCGTGCCGTTGGGGCACAGGAAAGACGCCTGTCGTCCATCGATGTCACAATAATGCCATGCTTGACACCTTGTGTCCACATCAGCAAAAAATCCAGGGTAGGGTTGGTCGTCACAGTAGAAGTCGGTGTAAGGAACTACCGCTAATACTGGATAGTCTGTACCCGGTTTACCTAGAAGAAAAAAAAACGCTTTAACACTGGTAGTAATTTTATTTAGAACTCAAACGTGTTAATTAAAAAACATTTTCAAAGTATGGACCATTTTATTTATTATTTTAATGTAAATTAGAAAATAAAATGTTTATTAAAAATAATGATTTTCCGTGGATTTAAAGTGTGCATATATCCCCCATTTTTAAGTAATCGTAAGACAACTGAATCCTTTACTTTCTACATTGCGTCGTATTTAATTTCTCTAAAAAGTTTGTCATTTTTAATACATGAAAAACTCAAACTGGTATTAGGATCTTAATTACCTAATATTTTTCGTCACATTAAACACTGATTAACGGATTCATGTTGATGTTCATGAATGAATATTTTAAAACTAATCCAATCTGTATTACATGAGAAAAATGATCGTATAGTCGAGATTTTGTTTATCACAGTTTAACTGTTTAGAATGTATAAATCAATTAAATATTTTATTTTAGAAATTATTTAATTAGAAATTTAAGTAATTATTGTTTTGAAAAATTCATTTTCACATTTATCGTCCCCCAAAAAAGTTTTGACAATTGATGACTTGATTTGTAATTCATTAGTTTGTATAAAACAATAAAATGAAGAAATAATGTTATGTATTTGCCGCTGGGTTAACACCTACAAGACTCGTGTCAAATTTTACTAAATATTTAAGATATGACAGCAAGTTTTATTGTTGAGAGTTTTAAGTATTTTATCGACTCGTGTTATCCTAAATCTTTTACTAGTTGTCTTTTGTTTATACATTATAGTTATTTTAAAATTAATTTTGTCGACTTGATTCATAAACTACAGTTACACGCTCTTTGCATAGTAATTGTTTATGTTTTTGTTCTACTGTATCATATATTGTGACAATCGATTAAATTTTTGACCTTGCTGAAATTGTTACTCCTAAATATTCGATTGCCCTTCTAGACGCCAGTGGATTCAGTAATCGTAATAATATAGTAAATTGGTTAACTTTTCTACTACTCTATTATAAGTTATACTTTCTAATAATTGTATACTACAGGCAGACAATCCATCAAATCTAACATAAATTATTTTCATTGTTTTATTTTTTTGTAATGTGGCAAATCCACTAAAAAATTACATTGGCATATAAAACTTCCATTTTTTTTTTTAAATAGTTAAATCTGAAATTCTACTTCTGATTATTAATTAGTATGTTGATATTTTTATTAATACTTTTGTTTTTTTACCCATCCATATAATGTGCCATGTAAATGAATAATTATTTTAAAGAAATCAACCCACGTATTTGTAAATATTTTTACAAATTTGGTTTAGGAACTTTTTTTTTATAGCTAAAAAAAAACACAGCTACCTTAAAATAAAAATTATTATTTTCCCTCGAGGTATTTGTGTGTGTACATAAATAACGCGTAAGAACTGTTAAAATATATTCAGTAAGTTATTTGTGAAGTGCGAGACTGATTGAAATGGAGATGAGTCCGTTTTCGATCGAAATTGTGTAATAGCGTATCGTCGTCGAACATCAAAAACCTACTTATAGTTCGAGTATTTGTTATGAGTTGTCCTCGCTAAGCGCGATTTTATTACAATAGAAGTTTTGAAATAATTTCGTAACCTTAGTGGCGTTTAAAACCAGCAAGCCCAGTTGAAAAAAATATTCTACGATTTAAACTCATACAACGTGTTTTGATTTACGTGACTTTACTCATCAAACTTTTAGAAAAATTGTCATTTTAATAAAATTGAAATTTATATTATTAGTAATTATATATATATATATATATATATATAAATTTATAATAATAATTTTATTATTACTAAAACATGTTACAATCATTTTTTTAAACTTAATAAAATATTCAAAACTTTAACTAAGAAAGCCGCTCTTTTGTAAAGGTAAGTTATTAATAAAATGACTAAATGTTTAACGAGAAAGTTTAATTTATAAATTAAAACTAACAGGATCATACTAAAAACATACTCTTTATTGCATTCAATGTACCATTTAGTTGGGTAGATTTGAATAAAAATTTTAACGACTTAAGGAACTTATAACTTACAAATAATTAGACGAATAAGTCTGATAATAATATTACATACATTTAAAACCCTTTTGATTAATATGACATTTTGTCATCTACATAAGCACGCAAAATAATAACCTGCCCAAAAATCTCCTATACACTTTAATAAAGAAATATGTTTTTGAAGTAAAAGTTATACCGTTAGATTTAAATTTTAATTAAACTGTAGATTTCGGTGTATGAATAATTTTGCCACGACTCTAACCGGTACTGAAATTATAATATCCGTCTCAATTTCTACAATGTTACATAGTATTAAAAGTAGAATATATTAGTTATATTGTATAATCTTTATAGATTTTTACATGCCATCGTTTCTATACATATATTTTCATGAATGTTTTTATTTATGTATTGCTTTAATAGCATAACATTATACATGAATGATGACGCACTATGAAATAAATATATATATTTAAGGAAAAGAATTTTTATTACTATTTTGCGAATGTTCATTGAACGAAGGATAATATTATGTTAAATATTTTTATATTTAATTTGCTTAATGATGACTGCTGATCATGTTAACGGAGGGAATATAACACCTTTCTTTTAAAAAATTTTAAAAAAAATCTTGTATTTATATTTTCAGGTAAGGATTAATTATTTTTCAATGACTAGCTGTCTTAAATATTACTGTTGACCTATTAAATGCTCTAGGCCAAATTTGAGAGCGTCACAAAAAAGGGAGCTCTCATACAAAGTTAACGACCTTTTTTTTTCTCATAATACAAATAAATGGTAAACTAAAGTGTTTATTGAAAAATATTTATAAGCTTTTTTTTGTCCAACTATAATACGGGCCCGGGACTCCCACGATCCTAAATCCGGCCCTAGACTTCTGTTGTGAAAACTAGTGATCACAATCAATGTTTTTAAATTATATTTAAACTCTTCTTATTAAAATTATTGATAAATATTCAATGAGCTTTAAAAGTTATATATATAGTTTTGTCGAATACTATAATTATTAGTAAAGCGATTGAGGTAACAAGTATTAGGTATTTGCATGCATTCTACCTAGTAGTCATGTCAATTTGGCAATTACAACGGTTTAATACGATGTGTCGTGCATGTAATAAAAGTACTCTTTAACAACTACCATTCCACCTAATCTTGGTAATTTTATTTTGCGATTAAAATGCAACACTTACCCGGAATTGATCTGCCAAGTTCCAGGTATTCGCGAACAGAAGGACTCAAAAAACCCGGTGGTACTTTAGTTGTGTCCTCGTTGACATCGTCACTCCCGTCATCGCTTTTGTTTTTGGAATCGTTTTCTTCGTCATCCAATCTATCTCTTTGGGCCAGATCATCATCGCCTTCGTCGTGAGTTTCCAAAGCTCTCGTAGATTTTGGGTTTTCTCCATCTTCAGAGCCTCCTGTAAAAAATATATATTTTTTTAAAAAAAGTTTAAAGCAAACAAAATGTATGCTTATGAAACTAGCCAAAAAATGTCCAGTTTTTTCACAATCGTTTCATAACCAAACATGTAGAGTAGAGGTGCTTTGAAGTCTTAGAATCGTCAGTTAAAAAAAATAATCATCCAGCACCAAATAATCATCAAATATTAATAAATTATTTTTAAAAGTTTGGCAATATCCTTTTTTACGGCATAAAAGTGTTTTTTTTTTTAATTGTATTTGTTGTTATTATGTAATCTTAATAGGAGGGTTTTGAACAATTATCGTGTAGAAGTTTACAAAAAATAAATCTCGAGAAGAAAGCATTTTCTAGTTTCATTTGTTCTATAATTTCATATCGCTGGTAAGCAGTAACGATTTATGTTTTTCTTTCTCTCATCTATTTCATAATAATGTTGAAGCACGCGTTGGCGTGCGCCAAGCCGAACAGACGTGACCTCATAGGTCATAATTATTATAACTTCAATGATAATAGTGTAAATTACTTAGCGATGTTTGCGTTATTTTATTCATAAAGTTTTCACCGCCTCCGCCGTGCTGTGACCATTAATGAGACTATTGTTTCTAAATTCAGTCTTGGTATTAACTTATTAATTGTTATTTATTTTTTGCTTCCAACATAGACTTGTCAGTCAAAGACATTAGTCGAACTAGATATTTTACCAAACAAAACACTCGATATCGAAGAATATGTTTAGAAAAATTATGCTTGAAAATGCCACTTTAATCGCGAAAAGTTTTTTTGGCTTCTGTTTTTCTGTTGAACTTTACATTGTGGGCGTCGTTATTTTGGTTTATTTTTTTTATTTATTGCAGTCGTTGCCGTTAATTGTTAATAACGGCCAAGTCGTGCTTGCCCCCAAGGTGGGTACGTTGAGTAGTGTTCTAGATACGTGACTTAGAGGCGTGGCGTTAATATTATGTGTACCTAAACGTCCTAATCTGCCAAACCTTTCTCGACCAAAAAGACTTTAGCTGCTTTACCTTGGGTTAAAATTGTATTTATTTTGCAAATTTTCCAGTAAAGGTACCCTGCCTCTTTCAAATCGAACGAATTAAATAATCACATGTAACTCAACATTATATAATGTAAAATTATATTGTATCCGACGAAATGAGTCTAAAGTCCCTTTGAAAATTTATTATTTCCAAAATGTCTTATCTTAAGCCCTGTGTTGCCGATGATATAATAAAACTATTAAGATGAACTGAGTTGTAGAAAAACCTGTTTTTATGTAGTCAGAGTAACCATCATCATAGGATGCGCTTTTATATGGATGTTTGCATGTTGCAATGAAATCCCATAATCGTATAACAATTAATTATTTAAAAATGACCAATTAATACAAAATGTTGAAGTTATTTTTGGAAAATGTTATTAAATTAGAGTTCATGAGTACTTACCGGCAATTGAAATTAAGACGATAGAGACAAGAGTGTAGCATATTAAAATCGCACTTAACTTTGAAAAAAGCATTTTAAAGAAAACGGTTTTTTATTATGTCTGTTATACGATAAATATTAAATTAAAGAATTAATGATATTACTAATATCGAATAAAATAGTATTACTATAGGTGAACGCGCGACGAACGTTTTGATCGTGTGAGAATGTTCAAGGAAGCCGGTTGACGGCTCTCTCGTGCTTGTTACTAGTCTCATGACCGGTCACACGACTGCTCTGTGTGGCCTCGGCCAGCAACCGAAGAAGTTAATTCGAATTCATATCTGTCCGGAAGGGGAAGTATAATCTATAGAGGGATTTATGCCAATTTCCGTTGTTTACGTATAAAGTGGGAAAATTAATGTTAAGTGATTTCCTATACAAATTATTAGTCATTAGCATCTGCACTGTCTTGGTTTACATGTAAGGACGTAAAAACCTTTGTTGTGATGTCCTTAAAAATATCCCACCTCTTTTTCTTTATAAATTAACATAATAAATTGTGTATGAACTAAAAAAATAAATTTTGATGGTTCAAAAGTGCTCATTGCACCCTTCTCCCTCGTTTTACCAATGTATTTACTGACTTAAATGCACTAAAAACAATTAAGTTTTATTTAAATTATACATGTGTAGTATAGGATTTTTAATATGTTTATTATTATTTTGTCTAGAATTTTAATATAAAAATGCAAACAATCCATCATTCACGTTCTAAAAAAAAGTTAAGCTCATTAGACGAGATCAAACACACTTTATCATTATACATGTCTACTGTTATTGGGGCTTTGCAAAATAAAGAAGAATTTATTTTGGATTTACTGGAACAAACTGATTATGCTGACATAAATTCTATGAATACAATTATAAATCAATTGAACGGACTTATTGGAGTAAATAAAAAATATTTCAATCATTAATTGCGTTTTAACCTTCTTTGTCTTAAATTATCAAATAATAAAGTTATAAATTACTAAATACTCATTCTTACTAAAATTATATTTCATTTTAAAACTATTTTCAATTATTTTTATTAATTTTATATAGTAATATTTTTTTGATTCACACATTTTAAGCCAACTCAATCAATCTGGTGAATTAATAAATTGCGAGTTCACCTATTAAACTGCCTTTATTTGTTTTTCGACACTAATTTTCATATCGTCTCCCTAGGACTTGCAGAGTAAATTAAATCTGATAAATCATTGTATAAGTCAAAATAAGTTATCTTCGAATTCTTTAAAAAATGCTATATCAGATGTAAAAAATATGTTGGATACTTCTTATTTGATTGCAAAGAAAGATAAACCTGAACCATCTATTAAAATGGACGATCAAATTTTTGATGTTATCCAAAAGTGCTTTACAATTGAAGTTGATACTTCTGATACCTTCTTACTTAGGTATTCACCAGACTTGCCTGAAAAATATCAAGTTAATGTTTCAATAGATATTAATGATTCTGGTAGATATTTACAATTTTTTTATGTATAATAATTAAAATAATTATTATCTATTTATGTTTGATAGATTTACTTAGAACAACACTAATACCATCTCCATGTTCTTCAGTAAATTCAGGAAGTGTTTTCTCTCATTATTCTGATGTTAAAAACTTTCTGCCACCTGTTCATGACTTAGTACCAATCAAAGAAATTCATAAGAATGTAGTAGAACCCGTAGTTGTAACTGCTGTGAATACCCCATCAAATTTCTACCTTCAACTTCTTGCAAACAACTCTCATTTAAATATGATTAATGAAGAACTCAAGAAATCAGTTAATACCAAAAGCAATGTTGTTGATAAAATTGAAAAAAGTTAGTATTTTAGAAAAAAAAAATGGTTCTTGACTATAGAGTCAGCATAAGATATAATCTAAGAGCCGCTGTGAGTACCTTTATTATATTATATTTATAAAAGTTTTGTGTTGGCACTCTTAACGATTAAAGGTATCTTTGATGCCTTAAGCCATCTAGACGATTGCCTTACTCTTATGCTGACCCTGCCTAAATATATCTACGGCTGGTACTTATCCATCACATAAAAAGTAATTTTGTATAGATAATGTTATGTATGCTGTGTTAACTACTAATCAATATTGGTGTCGATGTATTATATCTCATATTTATGAAGAAAATGGCAATATGTTGTATACAGTTCATTGCATTGACTATGGATTTTTAGAAACTGTCACTTCTGATAAGTAATAACAAAAATCGAATATTTTTATTCAAGTATCACATTTTTCTTTATTGAATGAATACATAATTATTTTGAGTCATAATAATACTCTCTCTCCATAATAACTGGATTTAAATTATATCGTTCACTATCCTGTTGATTAGGGTTACAATAAAAATAGAACTTTTAAAAATTTGTCAATCTCACCCCTTAATATTGTGCCAAAATGAAAAATAATAAGTTCTACAATACTTGGTCAGTAATAATGTAGCTTAAAGGATTGAATGTGATAGTTGACAAATTATGGTATAAAATGATTAGAAAATTTAATAATAAATAATATTTGTATAAAACATTTAATTGAACCCTTTCTTAATTAAAAGCATACATATAAAAAAAAAACATTTATAAGAGTCATATTTTTTTAGAAAAGTACAAATAAATAGAAAATTACCCCTTGGGTCTAATTTTCAATTTCTTGAGTTACCTCATAGAGTTGATCAATCTTGACCAAATATTGTACAACTTATTTTTTTTCATTTTGAGACAATATTGAGACTTTTTTTTAGGCGATTTAAAGATCTTATTGGTAAATTTCTATTTAATACTCTTAAAAAATAAAATTAAGTTCAACTCTTGTGTACATGTTAGTGTTACTTAATAATATTTAATATTTTATTTGCTTTCTAGAATTCGAAGTGTACCAACAGTACTAAGATCAATACCTCCATTAGCATATAATTGTGCTCTATATGATTTAAAACCAAAGGCAACTACTGGATGGTCCAATGATGCTTATAAACTGTTTACTGATTTAATGTTTATAAAATCTGGCACATTTTATATGTACCCAATGGAGACACGAGGTGAAAGAATTGAAGTTGATGTAGTTTGGAAAGATATTTATCCCTTGTCTATAAGAGATGCACTATTCTTCTTAGGTTATGGTTCATATGAATATTATGTAAACCAATCCTTGGTAAGAAAATAAAACTTTGAAAAAGTTCAACAATAAATTACATTAAATAAAATTAATGAAAAACTAAAACAAAATTACAAATAATTAATCTTAAAATTATATCTTTTTATCTCACAAAAATTATTATTTTTAAATATTGTATATATTCTATTTTTTCCTAATTAACGTTTTTCTATTTTCTAGACTAAAATAATTAAAACTAAATATAGATCAAAATTACTGAGAATTTGGTACAAAATACTTAAAACAATTAATTTTTATTCCTAATATCATATATATTATATATATATATATTTTTTTTTTTCTTAAAAAAATATAAATATATATTGTGTATATATGTGTGTTTGTGTGTGTGTACAAAGTGTTCAGTAAGTAAGGAAATTGGTCAATTATTATAAACAACGAGAACAATAGAAACCCATTTTCTTCTTATTTTCTGAAAACCCTATATAAAAAGATTTAATTGCACAACTTATCAAAAAATATATATTTTGGCTATATATCCAAAATTTACCTTTTCTTTTTTTATTTCTTCCTTTCTGGAATATTCCCACTATCTTTTACTACTTCTTATAACATTCTTTATTCTCTTTTTTTTGCATGTGCTACGGTTCATTTTCCTATTACTAGCCTTGTTCAGAAAACAAAACTTTCCATAAATAATTTTAATCATTTGTTGGTCATTTAATTTTGAAATTCGCCTACATTTTTGTATAGTATTGATAAATTAAAAATTTAATAATTATTATTGTTTTTTTAGCATCAAAAACTAGTGAATTCTGTAACTATCCCTGTAAGCATACAATTAGAAAAAGGAGAAAGGTATCCTGTTTCATTAAGTCATTTTGTTTCACCAAATGAATTTTATTTCCATGTAGTATGTTGTTCATGTTTTTTTTATTGTTATAATTTTAACAAATCAAGTTAAAAAAATTATCACATTTTAAATGATATTTTGTTTAGATTGACAAATCTGCTTTATTAGAAGATATAATGAATAGATTGCAAAAAGTCTACAAACCTACTGAAAAAGAAATGCAAAAGAGTTACTTATTATACACACCTCAAATTGGTAATTCAATATTTTTTAAAAATTTAAACCTAGAAAGATTTAATTGAAAAAATTTATATTAATATAAAAGCTTAATTATGAATTTTAGAGCAATCAATGAAATATTTTCAATGGTTTTTAATAATTATTATTTTTTTAACAATTAAATGGCATTTTGAGACTTTAAAAAAAGTTTTTTGTTAAATTTTAAATCATTACTACATGATTTGAATTACATGGTCATTTCAAAAGGGTGGGTTGGATTTTGTCTTTACATCAGTCCATAGACTATTATAATGAAATATATTTTTTATGACAAAAATATGTTGATTGATGAGTAAAAAAAAAGTCATCAGATTTTATAAAAATTATTACATGCAAGCACCTAAAGGTCTAGTTACACGACTGATTAGTAACAGTTATTGCTGTGAGTTTTAAAAGAAATCATTGCTAAATTCAACTTATCAACCTAATTCGTCTACTTGACAGCATAATAATTTTTAAAAAAAGATTTATGATTTAATCACTATTTTTCGAAATATTTTACATTATTAAATAATCAACTTAGAATCTAAACTTATATTTATTTGAAGGAATGGCAGTTGCTGCACGATTTTCTATGGATGATACGTGGTATAGAGCTAAAATTACAAGTATACCAGAACCTCGTATGGTTACTGTATTTTATGTAGACTATGGTAATTCAGAAACTTTACCATGGGATCAGTTAAGAGTACTTGATGAGTATTTTATTAAAATATCACCACAAGTAAGTATCATAAATTAAAATTCAATACTAATTAATAATATATTATTTTAATATATTCTATTGTTTTTAAACTTACTAATATAAATCAATTTTTTTTCTTTCTAACAATAAGTTCTATTATATGTAAATCTCTGGGAAATGTATAATACTATTATTTAGGCTTTAAGAGTATCGCTTGAAGGTATTATTCCATCTCATAATGGTATAGAATGCAGTGAATGGAGCATTGAAGCAAATGCTAAACTTATGGAAATGTTAAGCATTAATCATTTTGTTGCTGATAGCTTATATATTTTTGTGAATGATGTAATAAAAGATGGTGTACATAAAGTTACTGTATACAACCAAACATCAAGAGGAGAATTTTGTATTAATAATAAACTTGTCTCTCTGGGATATGCATTACCTACACAATCTGGAGCTTACATCTATAATAGCAACAAAAATAAAAGACGACCAATCAAAATTAAAAAATTGCCAGTAAATACGCGGAATGTATGTATATTTCAATATTTTTGATAAATTTTATACTATTCGTAATTATTTATTATTTTTGTAGAGATCAGATTCATTTGATAGTGATGATACATCAGCCTTTGTGTCACAACGCTCTGTGATTGAAAGTGAAAACCATATATGGAATGACAAAAAAAGTGATTCTCCTGGCATAGAAATGCTTGTTATCAGAGTTGAAAGTCCTGACAAAATCATTTTGAAACCTGTGCAGTATAATCCAACTAAGTATGTAAAATCTAATAAATTTTATTGTAGTAAATTAAATGTTATTAATGTTACTAACAGTCATAAACGTTTATTAATATTTTATTTGCAAAATATTTATTTTATTTTTATACTAGGTTAACTGATCGTTTAAATAAAGAATATTCTAAAAATATTTCAAATAAAGAAACAAAAAGTAATTGGGTAGAAAATGATAGATGTGCATTGTTTATTAAAAAATTTGGTAATTGGTATAGAGGAAAAATTTTAAAATTGGACGAAAACAAAAAAAAAGCAACAGTAAGTAAATTATTTTTTATAGTTTTCATACAATATACAAAATTATTGTATCTAGTTATGAAACATATCTTTAAAAAAATAAAAGGAGATATGGTAGATTTACAGATGAAAAATTTTATAATTTAACTACTTCGAATGAGTAGTTCTTTTATTCATTTTCTGTATCAATTATCAGTGTACATTTCTTTTAGTTTATTCATAAGCAATTGCAAATTTAGTTTTTAAGTGTATATACGCCTTTTAAATTTCAATTTTTTAGTTATAAAAACATTTTTATCAAATGTTTTCAGTTATGATTTTTAATACTTTTGTTTTAACAACTTTTTAATAATTGCAGTCAATATGAAGATTGTTAATTTTTAAGGTTTATTTTTAATTTTTAATGTTATTAAAATAATATTACTTATAATTGTTAAAAGATTATATTTTAGTTCTTATTTTTATTTTTATTTTTTTTATTATTATTATATATGGTACTATAATTTCATTTCAATAGATCTTAATGAAAATTATTATCTATGCTATTATTTTCTAAATAATAACAATTTTGGTAACATTATATAGAGTGGGTCAATGAAATGGGCGATTTTGAAATGGCTATAGAAAATTCTGGAGTTAATAATGTTAAAGTTATGTTCTATATATCTATATATTTGTAATCAATTGTTGAAATTCAGAATAACATTCATTCACTGTAAGAGTAAGTAAGCTAAACAAGCTGTAATTTAGCAATTCTACAGTGCATTTTTTCCAAAATCTGGTTATTTTATATAGGAAAATTCTATATCATTTTTGTACTAAGAAATATTTTACTAAAAAATTAGCAATTAAAATGTTTTTCATATACTTTTAGGTAGTTTTTTAAACGTTTTAAACTGTTCATTATGTTTTAAACCGGTTTTTTAAAAAGACATTTTTTAACTACCCTACTTTTGAGTGATTTGAAAAAATAACGCTTTAAAATAGTTAAATTTTTATAGTTATTAGTAATTTGTCCATTTTACTGCACTAACTTTTATATTTAAAATATCTACCAACTTTTGTTTTGTAAAGCTTTGTTTTACACGTGTTGTAATTTATAGATATAATAGATATTTTATGATATAATTTTTTTGGATAACCTTCAATCATCAATAAATATCATATAATAATAAAAATTATGTTTTAGGTGTATTTTTATGATATAGATGAAACAATTGATAATGTATTCACTAAAAGTTTGTTTGAGCTTGAAGATAAATTGTTTAAAGAAAAATGTGAAATTTTACACTGTAAATTAAATAATTTAACACCACTTGGTACATCTAATGGCCAGTGGGCCAAATTTACTAGTGATCAACTTTCAGAAGAATTAAAGAAATATTCATCTGTTTATTTAAATAAAAAAGTATGTCTACTACAATGAAAAATTAATTTAGTTATGATTATGTTATGATAAATATTAACTCTAATTTATCATAAGGGCAAAGAAGGTGATGTAATATTAGGAGAAATTTGGATTAAGGATTTAGTAGTACCAAAAGCCTTAGAACCTATTCGTACACGTTGGATTAATATTAATAGATTTATGGTAGAACAAGGTTTAGCCATGTGGAGTAAAAAGTAAGTTTGATACTAAATCTATTTTATTATTTAAAAGTTATTTTATTCTTTACAAAAATAAAAATTGTAATTTTTACAACTGTAATGTCTTTTTAAACATTTACTTTCTTTTGACCAAAAAGGTTGAATTAACCTAACCCAATTTTTATCTCAAATTAGAATTATGAAAAAATATGGCTCAACCAAGCCTTAATAAAATTTATCAGTTCCAACAAGTCATGTAAAGTAACTTAGTATTAATAAAGTTTTTAATATATAAATACTATTTTTAAGTACTTTAGAGAAATAACCTAATTATTTAATTTTTAATGTTAGCATAAAGAGATAACATTATCTAATGGAATCACAAAATTTATTTTAAATCTACAAATTACTACACTGATATTGATATATTAATAGATAAAATAAACATTTATATTTAATCTATGATGTATATTGATGTACTAGCTGGATAAAATATAACACTTGTGGCGCAAGTGTGTTATATAGATAAAAAAAATTTTTAACAATATCCAAAAATACTTATGGGTTGTAACATTTTTTTACTGATGACAATGTGTTTTAGCAATAATATTCGAATTGTATTCTAAATACTCATGATAGGATAGTATTTTGTCACTATTTAAATACCATTTTAAATACCATTTCATCATATGCTAGATTCAAACTACTTTAACTTAAAAAAATGTATTTCATCATCATTAATTTTTTTTTCATTATATAAATGTATGTGATATATTATATTTATATCATGCTCAAATTAATTAAAAAACTTACTTTTAATAGAGAGAGTCAACCTGATAAAATTCCAAATAAATTGTTAAATTATCAGTTGGTCTAATTAACTTGGTTGATTCATTAAATAAATAACTTTACTACATTTATGAAGGCCTACTAACTAGTTATTGTACAACCAAATTTAATCCCTTAAGTTTTAAAGACTCCCAAGTGTACAGTATAATTATTTCTATATTTTATAAGTATAAAATTTATATATGTAGAGTGTTTTTTGGTTCATTAAAATTTTCCAAATAAATTTATTAGTATTATTTACATGTATTATTTTATACAATTAATAATATATAACTTTACAGTACTAATCAATTTTTTTGGTTTTTAGGATAAATGAGGTAGGTAAAGTGAAAAAAGGAAGAAAAAAAGAATTGTCAAAAAAATAATATATATATTTTTAATTAATATTATTATTATTATTATGCACATTGGCAATTTCAGCTATTGTAGTATTTATATGTTCATTTAATTTTAAGAAAAGAAACATAAATGAAACTATTTATATAGTATTTGTAGTTATTTCTATTTCATTTTACTATTATTTATTATTTTATTTTTATAAGCATTATTAATTTTTATTTTATTTAGATAATGTTTAATTTTAATAAGGGTAAAAGTAAAATATTAAAAAAAATATTTTTCTTTTGTTTTTTTATGTAATTTATATTGGTTAACCAAATATTAAGTATCTTTGTTCTACAGTGAAAATTGTTTATTTATAATTTTTGCTATTTAATTCAGTTGAATTTAACTTTTTTTTTATTATTATCTAAATGATATGTTATGTTAATGGAAAATAAATCTAAGACTTATTAAAAATATTACTGAAGTCTTGATTTCTTTTCCTTGTAATAGTAATATTAAATTTACATGGTTCATGATAATTTGTTAGGAAATTATTTTTATTATTCTACAAACCAAAATTTTTCTCTTAAAAAAAAAATAATAATAAGATTATAATACAAAAATTAATATTAATCTAGTATTTTAGCTCTTTTGGAGTAATGCAACAATTATAAAATTGTAAACATTTTAATTTAAGTAATTTTGTTTGTTGCAAAATAAAATATTTATTATTATTATTTGCTACTACTTATATATAGTTATTGCTTATTAAATAATTGCAGCAAAGTAAATATTTGTTAAAATACTTAAACTAAATTTAATAATGTTGAATACCATTTGTTTTTACACTATTCTTACTAAAATCATTTTCGGATGGCACTTATTTTTCTTAAATTTAAATTAACAATTCAAGTAATAATATTAATAACATAATCTAGTTTTCTTTGGAAATAATTTTAACTAAAAAAGAGAATAATTATGGTTTGTATTAAATATGCTTGAAATACGGGTCAGTAAACAAACATTTCTTAACAGGACAGTACAGAATCAAGCTCAGAATTTGAAACAAATTATAATGAACCATTTGAATATGGCCATAACCTACAAACGTGGTTGCCACCTAATCCATTGACAAAAAATTGTATTAAAGGCTATGTTACATATGTTGACTTTCAATGTCAAATTTACTTTTACGACTTGGAAAGTGGTAAGAACTTTAATTATGCATTATTTAAAAAATTGAGATAAAATATTTCCATATGTGTTTAAGATGCTCCTCAAACATTAGCATATTTTGAAAATGAATTTGAAGAAATATTTGGTAAAAGTGAACCAGAGCCTTTACATATTCAGTGGGTTGAAGGGCAAATGGTAATTGCTAGATATCATTTGGACAAAAAATGGTACCGTGGAACAATTTTAAGTGTAAGGTCTTTGCTCAAATTCATTTATTTGAAACACAGTTATTCTGGATTTATTATTAAAAAATGTTCTTGTTTGTTTTTTTAATTTAGAAAGAAGAAAATGAAGAATATGTTGTACAATTTTTAGATCATGGTAATGTTGAAACTTGTGTTCATGATGATCTCCGAGCTGCTGTACATATGACTGATATTTCAAAACTATGCTACAAAGGATACTTTTTCCCTATTGTTCCTGTATGTGAATATTACTAAAAATAAAAATTATAATTAAACTTAATGTTTGTTACTAATATAGATGACGGAAAATAAGTTATGGACAGTACCTGTTCTTGATTTTATTCATGCCCAAATTGTGGAAAAAGAATGTAAGATAACTATCAATTTAGAGGCATCTACTAATGATAACTATGCAGTGAGCTTGTATAATTTTTATGACAAAAATTAATTATTTAATTAATTTGTTAACAAAAATATTTAATGATAAATATTTTTTTAATTATTAATACAATAAGGACATAATTTAAAAAAATTATTTTTTAGATAAACAACTTTAAATTTTTGAACTTCCATTAGAGTTTTCTTGTATGTTATTTTTTTATAATTAAAACAAATTCATGTCAATTTTCATGGATAGACATACATTAATAGATAGAAAATAATAAAATGATACAACCATGCAAAATGGTTAAAAATCATATTTTTTAAGATAGGTCCTTATTATATTAATAGTGTAATATTTATTAAAATATGACAAATAAATTAGTGTAAGTTCACTTAGAATTAACAAAAAAAGAAATAATAATAATAACAGAAAATTATAAGGTGTAACGAGTATAAAATATACAACAACAAAAACTATTAAATAAAATATAAAACTTCATAAATATCGAGACCATATAATTGAACAGTAGTCAAAAAAGGATCTAATATAAGAATTTTAAATAAGCTTTAATGCATAAAGGTTATTAAAATTGTTACAGGAATATTTAAGAAATCCAAGCATCCTAAATTTATTATTTTAAACATAATTTATATGCTAATCAAATTGTTAGTTTGCTATCAATATAAAAGTACTCCATGATTTAAAAAATATTTTTCAGGTATTTTAAAATGATATCATGTTTACCCTGTATTTTCCATTCATCAAGTTCACTAAGAATATTTTTAAAGTAATAAAGTTGATACCTAGTTTGATCAGTTATTTTACGAATATTTTTAATATTGGAATGTGTACGAAGTTTTAATTTAATTTTGAGAAACTCAAAATCTAATTCTTAGATGCAATTAGAGTTTGATTATTATTAATTTTAATTGTTTTTATTTTATTTACTACAATATTTTTATTGCACAAATTCATAAAATTCTATTGATTGAAATTATGATATTGATTTTAAAGACTAACAGATACACATTTCTGTACCAGGTGGCAGTATCTAGTTAACTGATTATCAATTTTTTTTTTTTTTTTTACATTAATTTTTTGAAAATTGTACTTTGTTTTAATAGATATCAAGATTTGGTACAAATGAAATACCTGACTTTTTCCAATATTTAGTATCAATTAAAAAAGCTATATTCCATAATGCTAATATATCTACTATATGTTCCCAAGATATTGTAACAGAGAATTATGAAAGTACAGTTTCTGATGAGTCATCCTCAGAAAGTAATAATTTATATAATGGATATAACTGTAATGAATATGAAGAGTATTGTTCAAATGAAGAAACTGAATCTAAGAAATCTGTTAAAAAGGTAATTTGTTAATTATAATTGAATGTAGTTTATTTGTTTATTTTTATTTTTTCTCTGTATTATTTAGTGCAAAGAAAAATCTAACTTTATGGAGTTTGATTTATTGGGAATTACTGCTGAAGGAATAATATCCAGTATTATAGATCCTACTAAAATTAAGATAATTATTAACAAAGTAGATGATGTTGATATTTCATTAGCTAAAAATGATATGCATACGCAAATGCAATCAATTTGTAATAATTTAGACTTGCCTGATAGTATTTTGCCAGGTATCTATTATTATATTGTAATTCATGTTTCATGTCTAATATTTTCATTTTTTAATTTTAATTGTTAATACAGTTTGCATTTACATTCTTATCTATTAAAAAAAAATGAGCTTCAACTTATTTTATGAAAAAATAATGTTCTTATATACAGATATTCTTTAACATGAGCTCTGGGGTTCTCTTTGATTGTCAATTATGGAGAGTGTACTGAAAAAAAATGAACAGTACGGGATTAGAACCCACGACCCAAGGCATCGTAGAGACAAACCTTACCACTAGACCACAGTACACTTATGATACAGATTCTGAAACACTTTCATTTAGGTTGTTAACTTGATGTGCAGTTGAGGGAAACACGGTACCATGTCATACTCCCCCCAAGTCCCCGTATGAGGCTAAAATACTGTAATTTATGGGAGGGACTAACCGCTACACACAGTGTCATTAACCTACAAGAAATACTTTATTAGAGATCATAAGAAGGAAATGTAGGCAAAATTTAGCACCAAATCCTAGATCTTTTCATGACTTTGATGTTTTACCTTAAAGATTTCAACAAACTTTTGCAAACAAAGATTTGTGATTTCTGGCAGATTTATAAACAGAAAAATACTATTTTCTGCAACTCAATATAACTGTAGTTGTTAAAACAATATCTATATTTATATTATGTCTAAATTTTAATAATTTATTATTGTAAATAAAAAAAGTGTTGGGACATATTGTGATAGATTTTTTGGGAAATTTTTTGGAATTAGGTAATGTGGAAAAATGGTTATATAACTATCTCTACACATACTTGATTAATTATCTTCGAAGAAAATAATATTTATTATACGTAGTATTTTAAATATTGTGTTGCATCTTTTTATTTGTGAATACATTTTAATAAACATACTACATAAATACTAATTTTAGGATCGCCTGTGTGTGTCTTTTACAAAAGCTTATGGAGAAGAGGTGTAATAATAAAAAATGAACCATCCATTTTAATAGATTTAGTTGATTTAGGTATAGCAACTACTGCATTACCAAAACAGTAAGTCATAAAATGTATTAATCTGTTAATAAGTACTAAATTTTCTCATATTTATATTTTTAATAGTGTGAAACTATGTCCTTTAAAATTTTTGGAGTTACCAATGTACTCTCTAAAATGCCAGTTGGCAAATGTTAAGTACAACAAAAAATCTAACTCAGCAAAAGTCACACAAAAATTAATGCAGCTATTAATTGAAAAAACTAATTTAAAAATATCAGTTAGAGTAAGTAATAGATATAAAAAAATTAATTTTATCATCAAATTTATTATCAAATATTAATCTTAGGGTAAACAAGAAGAATTTTTTTTAACTGAACTTTTTGACAACAAAGGACAACTTGTTTATCAAAATTTAATTGACTCCAATCATTTGATTTTAAATTATCAATGACATTTATGTATATCAATTAGACCTGAAATGAAGAAGTTATATATATTAATTAAGACATTTTTTTTTTTTTTTGTTATTTCTATTAGTAAATATTTTCTGTATTAAAGATATTTATAAACTTTTTATACTTTAAAAATCGTTTTTTGATAGTATTGTTATTTAATTTCATCTTCAAAGAATTTATAAATATAATAAAAAGTCAGTTTTTCAGTAAAATATATTCATATATATTTTTATTTACAAAGTTTAAAGTGTTTACAAAGAATACATATATATTTATAACTTAACCAGCTTACCCACCAACAGCTCAAAACACCACATTTGAGTCTTTATTTATTAGTTTAATCATTTTGTAATATCCTACACATATACCTTTGGTCTATTATCATTGGTCCTTTTTTTTTGGTATTCTTCTTTTTGTAATTTTACCCAAGTATCTCCAAGAGCTTTAGCAAAATGATCGTCTACTGCTAAAAAAAAAAGTAAATTTCTCTTAATTAAAACAAACAATTAGTGACCTATGTTAAATCTATACCAGAAAGACCAGTGTTCTCTGTAGGTATATTAGATGTAGTCTCCTCTTGAATTGTAATAGCTGGTGCAAAAACACTCATGTAATCTTTTCCCAATGACCTCCTAAAATGCTCATCAATAACTGGGTCACTCATTCCTCCTGTTGTAGTCGTTGTAGTTGTCACTGATGGTGTTCTACTGACAACAGAGGCTGAAGTGGATGTCATAATAACAGAAGCTCGTTCTTTGGTTGCATTTCCTGCTCTGAATACATTAGTTGATGAGGTTGTCATATCTAATGGCTCTTGGAAACTTCTAAAAATGAGTTTCATTAATTTTGAATTAGTCAAATAATATATTCATTTTTAATGTACATAGTTAAAATATTTTTTACAGATCACTATTCAATTTAATTTAATATCTATTTAATGACTTATTTGAAAAATTTAAATAAACTAATTAGACAGATTTACCAATAACTTACTTTGATGGAGATACTGGTGACGTAACAGCTCTATGTCTTCTCTCTCTCTTCCATTTCCCTACAGTTCCTACAGTGCCTTCCATAGCTGAACATCTCAACGATAAAGATCTTGAATGGTCTGTAAAAAGTGAATAGAAAAATTAATCTTCTTCTCTATGGCCTTTATCCCAACTACTTATTTTCATAACCGTTTTTACAGCTTCCAATTTCATTTCTCATAACATGACCAACTAAGCCTATTTTCTCTCATCCATTATCGGCGCTAAACCTAAACTTCCTATACTACTTACATATTCATTCCTTATCCTATCTTCTTTCGTCATTACCGTTTTAAGTAATTAAAATATTAAAGATTGTGTACTGAAGTTTTAAAATCAATTTAAATTTGAAAAATATATTTGCTAAAACTTAAGTAATAATTTGTATTCAATAGAGTTTGTCAAAAACAGTTATCGAACATTTAATAGACATTTTATACGAATCCTACAGAGTTGTTAATAGCCTGACTAATTTGCATGGCAATAGAAGTCTGTTATCAGTTATTACTATCATATATTCATTATATAGTTATTCATATCCATATATTCAAACTTGTATATATTACAATAAAGAAAAAGTAAACTCAACTTTGTAAAATGTATTAACCCACCCAACCATTCGATTTTTCAATGCATTTTTTCTATTAAGGGTTCACAATTATTAGCTACTTTCCAAGATTTTTTCTTAATTATTAAAAGTCATCCGATAATAAATTATCCAGTCATGTAAGGATTTTATACCTTTACCAATTACTGAAGGACAACTATTAGAAGTCATCATCATCTCTTTTTAGCTTCTTCTCAACTATTTGAGATCGGCTCCACCTTATTTAATAGGATTTGTACACCAGCTGTCGATCTGACGGAACTAGTAGATAACAACACTTTTTACCCCGGTACAAGTGTCTTCACATATATATCCTCTATAACATTAATATACGTATTTAGGACTCATTTTCTCTTTAACGAAAAACCTCTCTCAGGACTCTATCATCATACGCTTTCTCTAAATCTTCGAACAAATCTTATAAATGAAAAATAATGATTCGCAAAACAAAATCAGCTTCCATTTGAAACTTAGAAGATATTGTTTTTTTAATATGACATAACATGTACTTCCAGGTATTATATCTTTCGTTTTTATTTTATTTTTTAATAACTGTAATCTAATTTTTTACATTTTAATTTATAATATCAAATAAATAAAAATGAATTTGTATTAAGTTAATCAAAATCATTAAGTATTCAAGTATACCTGAATTCAACACTGAATGCATATTGCACATATATAAATACAAAAGTGTATGTGATTTCTTGTAACTACAGCTGTTGTGTTAATATATACATGCGCGTGTCATTAATATATCGATAATAGATACATCCGTTTTACCATACTAGAAGAATAGCCACAGAAAGGAAGGACACGATTTCGTACTGAAGACTTGGCAGAAGACAGAACACACGTTTCCTGTGTCCGTGGTTCGTGATTAACATTTAATAAAACATGATAACGTGGGCAACGAACTGGAGCGCATATAAAACGGCTTTGTCCGGTTTTTCCTACCCCAAAAGCAACAATTCACCCTAACCCTTATAAGCAGTTATTTTTAAAATCCCGCCAGTCTTTTAATTGAATATTTCGACTATACAACTCTAATTTAATGTAGCTTAATGAAATATTTACAACTTAAAAATGTTACTTTACACACAATACAATTTTATGTAAACTTGAAATTTCTCCTATTTTACTAACGTAAGTAAAATTCATTATATTATAATTTTTCTGATTAAATACATAGTTCTGTAAATTTTTTTTTAATTTTCACTGATGTGTTTACGTAATTCTTTTTCGGTCTACTATTTATAAAATAATATTTTATAAAAACTAATATACTGATATATAATATCAGACCAATAATTTTTGACAGGCATATCAATCAATACCTAACCAATTAACTTAAAGTATTGGCCACAAATCATTGAATGAATCATTGAGCATAGTAATTTTTTTTAAAGAACTCTCAAAATTATCCTTATCCTTGTTTCTATTACATAGTTTCCGAAATTAAAACTATTTAGGATATCTAAATGCATTTTTGAAGATCTTTTCTAATAATTTCAATATCAAAAAATCCAATTACCTAGTTGGGCGATTTTTTTTTTGTTTTTTATTGACAGTGAAGAAAATAGAGCATTAGTAGTTGTATTATTATACAACACGACCTAAAAATTTACAAAGAAAAACCAAAACCCAGGTTGTGTTAATAGTGTTTATTTTCATAATTTTCGAATTTGCTATGTTAGCACTTAATTATTGCATCAGAAAAAATGACTTAATGATAATAAAAAAAAAAACAAATGCAAATTAGATTTTCAAACTCGTCATTTTCGAGACATTTAAAAAAACATTAGATTTACAGTTCATAATATTAATACCGTATGTGAACCTCATCGTCCAGATCATTAACAACGGGTAAGGTCTTATGATTATTTTTTTCGGCGAGACCGAGAAGAGTGGGCGTCGGAGAAGCACAAAAATAATAGTGTTATAACGTATTGTTGTGGCGCGTGGTCTGTTCATAGTACAATAAGCATTGAACACAGAATAATAAACAATGCTGAAGCATTTGTTAGTAGAGATGGATCACATCATGTCAGAACATTTCAATACAAACGTCAGGCAGTTTACATTTTAAGTCGCACGAGTGATCATCCAGACATTGACGTTCGAAACTCCCATTAGAAATAATTACTTGACCACAGCACACTCGTCGGGTGCAGTAATTTTAATGCGCTTTCAATCACAGATGACCCGCTCTCCTTTGTTGATTTCCTAGATAAGATAAATACTTACGATGTTTACTTAATTTCAATTTTATCGCGTCTTTTGGGGCGTACTCGTTAGATATTTATCAAAGAATATGACTTGTTTACTTAGGATTTTAATCGAATCGCAATATATTAACAAAATTCGAAGATTTAATCTGCGGATAATCAACTGCCCCGTGTTACCGGTGAACAATTCAGCCTATGCGATATCGATGATCGTTTAAAAAATGTATTTACCGTCGTCGCCGAATTTCGAACTCTCCACCCACGGCTGCCACAAGTGTCTGCTTCTGTCCGCTCTATTGTTACGGGCATCGGCCAATTGATTCGCACCAAAACCCAGAAACGGCACGTTATACCCAACGCAAAGACTCATATTGAAAATATATCTCGCAGAAGTAATTTAAACAACCACTAATCTGTCAGCACACATATACGAAAAAATCGTAAAAAAAAAATAACCGACGACTACAATGTTCGAACAACAAACGCTGAATGGCATTGAGCGAGTGGCGGCCAACGATCACAGTGTGTACTCGATGCCGCCACCCGGTCCTGCCAGTTCATTCATGGCTCCACGGGAACCGGTTGCCGAGGTGCGTTACTCCCCTCGAGTTTTCCCTGGAGTCGGGGGTCGTATGGGCACTACTGCCAGTATTCTCTATGTCGACCGGTGTGAACGCTCCCAAAACACGGCGGCGGCTCTTCATTAATAACACCGAACCGAGCACCCCGGCCCGCAACAGGTACAACGAGATGGTATTATTATTATTATCCACACATACATAAAAAGGGTTCACCGGAAACTACAACGCCTTCGGCCTAAAACGTCGTACACCCATCGCCGCTTCATCATTATTATGCGCATACATCATCTTCATAGTCATATATGTTATCTTCATCATCTCCGACTATCGGCGGTCCGTCCTCCTCCCGTAAAAGCCAAAAAACATAATAACAAGTCGGCCGTCAATAAATTGATTGAACACGCAAAGAAGACACGGACCCAATAGAGTTAATCATAATATTTTTATATAAAAAAAAAAAAATACCCGCTTAATAATAAACAACTACTAGTGTTCCACCGGTACAATTAAAGTTCCCAGACTCGGTTTGACGGTAAAATAATGTCGAATAAAATATGTAATAATGACTGGTCTTAAACGTTTTACTAAACACGGGAGCTGACGTGGAAATTATCTAAAACTGTGCTACTGAAACAGCCGGAGGCTGCGGATATTTTCATTTATTATTGTAATTCTTTAATAATTTACACTTAAATCATAACGATAGCTATCAAAAGAAGATAAATTATGAGTTATTATCGGTTAAGCGCATTCCACGTGTCCGTTTTTTATTTTGTAAACTCGATACGTCTCATCCGTCAAAAGGTACACAACGACATCATACATTACATCAGATGACACAACCGCCGTGAGATGGGAAAAAACGCATCAAATGGGATACCTGTAAATTTGCATAATTCAAATAAACAAGCTCGTTAAATCACACACTACAGACAGATTGAAATAAACAATATTGTGCAAGTCTTTATTGTTGTATGATACGTATCAATTATTTTGTTCAACTATCAATAAACTAGCCACGAATCAAACGAAAAGTTTATAATGTTCAATTACTCATTGATGTAGTGTTTGTTCGTTAAAAATGATTAATGCCATCGAACCTTATTTCAACAAACGTTTTGATTAATGATTTGGCAAATGTTCTATAGTTGCATTGTATATACACCAATTTGTACNGATGCATTGTATATACATCAATTTGTATTCGATCAAGTCTATTTCGAACTTAAATAGGTATCTACTTATTTGCACGAGGGCGGTACTTATGTTAGAATTTCTCTCTAAGTAAAATACTTATTGAATATTTAATAATTCTAGACATAATAGGTTAACTCTTTTTATAATCTATAGTATTTTATTTTAAACAAATTCTATAGAATCTACTAGGTATATGGTCAAGCAAAAAAATTATATAAATTGTAGAAAACACTGAAAAACGTTAACTAATTAATCAAACAACTAAATATAAAATTGATGGTAAAAATTCGTCTTTTGTACAGAGTGACAACGGCCTCATGACTCAGCAAATACTTGGCCGCATCTTAATGAGTATCAATGCACATAAACGTTTTGTTTATGTACTTAATAAATTCTACATGAGATATAAATGTGTGTACATACATGTATACGTGTGTGTTTGTGTGTATATATATGTGTGTGAGTGT